TTTGAATAAAATATTTCTTTTCAGTTACTGTTTGTTTGAATTTGATATAAGATACGCATGTATGTCATAAACTTTTTAGAATAAATGTAGAGTATGGTTTGGGTAAAATTCATGACCAACTCTGACTGGGTGTTCAATATTTATTTTGATGATGTGTAAATGAAAACCTATAAAATGAATAAACAATTATAAATACATGAAACACAAAACACAAATTAAAATACAAATTCAATATCGATATCATTTCAACATTTCATATTTAAAACAATTTCAATTATTTTCAATTATTTAGTTCATACATTTCATTACATTTATTTTAAGTAATTTAAAGTAAAACATATCTTACCAGGTGCAACTGGCTGACCTCTGTTATATAAAATTATAAATATCAAATCCGTTCTATAAAGAACAAACGTAAAGTTGATTTATATAAATACGTACAATATTCAAAATGTTCTATGAAGAACTACTGAAGTTCACCTTACAATGCAAAGTATGAAAATGATTTCTTAGAAAAGGAATGTAGATTGCCCATGCATAAAATGATATGAAATCACTCTCATCCAATCACATTCTTACTTAACAAATTGTTAACATTTTGTATCCTTTATGACATTATTGTATGTTCAACACTTATTTTGTCAGGTGATAAGCCTGTAACATGCTTTAAAACTAATAAAAACATAATAAAACTCATTTCTGTCCTTCCTAAAGAAAAAATACTTTTTTGAGCCTTAATTAATAAACTTAACATATTTATTTTGTTTCTCGTTGTTTCAATATGCCATTTGTTCTGTAAATAAGGCAATATATTTTTGGATTGAATCATAAAAAGAAAGGTCATACAAATTTCAAAATTTATTATAGATAAAAAATGCTTGCATCTTATGCAAATATGTAAAGACATAATGTACAGTAACTGACAGAAGGCAATACATATAGCCCATATACAAATTTAATGCTGTTTAAATGTTTCTATACAGTAATTTATAACAAGATTATGGATATAAAAAACTTTATTGCATCAAAAAGTTGTTTCTTTTGAAAATTTAATTGGCACACAACATTTTCTTCATAAAAGATGCACTTATAAATAAATAAGACTATTTTTTCTCCAGAACACAATAGTTGTGATAAGTTTTATCAGTTTCATTTGGAATTTCACTATAGTCCTCAGATTGATCAAAGGACGACTGTTAACTATTCTGTTTTTCAAGAATAAAATATTGATGGTTTGATACTGGCCTCTCATTGGCTGTTGTTTTTGAACTGTCAGCCTCATTCTGAGGATTCAAGGCAAAAAAGTTCTGATTGGTTGCATCAGTATTTGTGTCAGAGCCTTTGATTGGTTAATTTTGTGTTAAAGAATTGTATATGTTGCCATTGGCATTCTGCTTTGAATTATTATTAACTGAACTTGGAATAACATTGTCAGAGAACTTCTGGTAAACTGGCGAGCCAACTGTTTAGGATTTTTCATTGGTTTATTCTGAGGGGATTGATATGAGCCGCCACCAGCCATTGGCTCAAAATATTCTGGGGAGTCTGGCTGCAGCCCTGAATACGTATGTGAGTCTCTGATGTTTGTCATTCCACCAAGGGTGTGGTACCCGGTCTGTATAGAGCCTTGTGTCGTTGTGATTAGGGGGGAGCTGAAGGGGCTACAGGATAAGTAATACTTGATTTTACTGGGAGTAACCTGCAACAAATTAGAAAAATATAGCTTTAATTTCGTATAACAATGTAGCTTAAATAATGAATTAGTAAAAAAATCCATTTTTTAAGTAATACATTCTTTTTTAATTTTTTTGTATAACTTTGATCTATTTTGTCTTTGTTAAACCCACTTTTTTCGTCTATCTAGTGTGTGTATATTCCTATAAGTGTCTTTCATAATACTGCCTGTTTGTACCAACGTTGCCGTTCATTGGATAATCGTGACATAGGAGTAACCTCCCTTTAGTTATAATTTTCGTGAACATGTATAATGATTAGAAATTGAAACTGCTCTATCATTTTCACATTTTTTGAGTGCTCAACCACTAGAAACCAGAAAATTGATAAAACAATTCTTCAAAAACATAACATGTACGTTTGTTTTTTCAAAGAAATGATAAGTGGTTTTTTAATACTTTGTAAAGTATCAAAGACAATGCAGTAAATACATGTAGTTTTGTTATGTATAATATTTCAGAAATTACTCTGGAATTCTGGAAACTTGACTTCCTGATGGAGCTAAACCTTGACCTTGAATCTGTCATCTGGAGATTCTGAATGGTCTAAACTTATTCTTTTCTTCTCCGCTTTGCTGAAATAACAAACCAGTACAGTTTCAATATTATTATGGTCACAGCAAACATTACTAGGGTCACGCCAGATATTATAAGGGTCACATCAAACATAATAAATAAGACTCAGTGTCTTTTCTAGGAGGGGGGATGGTGTGATTCACACATATTTTTTTAGAATCCCCCCCTATTTTTCAGAGGCAGGGGAGAAATATTACATAGAGAAAAAAGGAAAAAGATCAACAATTGTAATAAATTCTGACTTTGTGATAAAAATATCCCCTGTTTTTCGAATGCTAGAATAGACACTGAGGCTTGCACCAAACATTGTAAGTTTCACACAAAACATTCTTCTAGTCACAACAAGCATTATTTTTTCCTTATATAAGGAGTACCAGTACGAATAAACGCATTGTCCGTAATACGCCCTCATATGTGATATTCATATCCTTTCAAAAAGATAAAATGTTTGAAGGAGTAAAATGCTTATTATATTTAAAAGTTTAATAAGGTACAACAGTATTGCGTCCAACCTTTCATTGTTAATATTTTTAAACATCAAAATTAGGTTGAAATAAATGAAAATTTTGTGAAAAGGAAACCAATTTTAAATCTTCTCAATTATATTGGTTTTTGTTCAGTCAAATGCTTAAAACTCAATAAAAAAGGTAATGTATGCAAAAAATCGATGTATTAAACTCGCACGTCGTTAGACTTTTTCAGTTAAATTTTATCTTCACCCGACTTAACTTCAAAAAAGGGTAAGTACTACTGTATACTTAATTATAAGTAGCCAATAGAGGCTCAGGAATACTGTAATAGCAAGTTACATGACTAAAGGTTTATGGAGGTGAAGAAAATAAGGAGAAAAAAGATCGATGGCTAATATACTTGATATTTGTATTGCTAAAGTTTAATATGTAATAAAGTAAGATAGGTAAAATATGAAAAATAAGATCAACATTCAGTGAATGCACCGCCAAAACACAGGACCATAAACGACCGTTTAAATGCTTTTAAAAATCTTAGTTTTGTACTAGTACTCGTATATAACCAGACCAGCAGCAATACCACACTCTATATTTATGTTTATGAAAACTCAATTTTATCATTTTGATATTAAACCCAATAACACCCATAATTGACAAATCCAAATTCACAGCACGACAAGTCCATTTTAGAAAAAAAAACATAACTACAGATGGTATTTATCCATGTATGGTATTCAATATAATACGTTTCTCATCTAAACTCTTCAGTTTATTTGCTAAAATAAACTTTTTAAGGTCATAAAATTACCATATTTTAGAACTGCACTTAAATAAAGATTTGTTTGCTTTTGAATTCGTTGACTTAGAAGTTTGTTAAGCACCATATACCTTTCATTTTGACATACTTCGTTGATCGTTCAAATGATTATTATATTTACAGGACCTTTGTAAATGTAATACTGAACGGGTTTTTACCAACCATTTGGTAAGTTTTTTAGTTTCCTTAATTTATTTCTACAATATTTCAATGTAGATTTTATTTTCAGACTTCATATTTTATTACCTTTTTTATATTGACTTTTATTATATTTGTGAAAAAAAATCGTTTATTGGGAACTGTATGGGGTATGTTTTGTTCTTACAAAGAAAACTAAAGCAATTATTGTTTGTTAACTACGTGTACTATATAGTTTTGAATTACCTATTTAAGGTATAAAAATGATAGGAAAATGTTATTACCACAACTTAAATTTTATATTGTCGCACAATTTTGTCAGTGGAGTTACTACTGAAACGTTACTTTTCTTTACAATACGCATGCGTCATCGGTATGTTATACTATAGCCTCCAGTTTTTCTACAATATATTGTATCATTCATTGCAAAATTAATGATTTAAAATGATAGAAAAATGATAATTTTATGTGAACTATTAATGTATATATGTTTGAAGTGACTTATACGTCCATTTGGCTGGGTGTAATGAAAAATGATTTATCATTATTATTCATAAATTGGCATAGTTACAAATTTCACTTTTATAAAATACTAACTCGCTTGCTAGCTTAATCTATGAAGACAGTTGTCTAAAGTTGTTTATCTTCCATCTGGTATTTTTTTGCTGAAAATGTGGTAGTTAACTTGTCATATTAAGGTCGGTTGTGCAGTCCAGCCTGGCAACCACCCAGTGGTGTATCACTGAAATATTGTGACAAGCTAGCAGCGAAATAAAGTACACGTGGAGCATACTGTTATAATAACATTTTAAAAGGTGTACTAAAATTCTGGTAAGTTTTTCTTGTTATAGTTTTCATTGTTGATCTAATAAGTATAGGGTGATTCCAGAACGGCTTCTGGTACTGCCCCAGGTACATGCCGAAGTGATCTTATGACCTACATTTATTTCGTCGGTGGTACTAACAATCCTACACATGAAGCATATAATTTCTGTCACACATACTCATGATACTATTTCTATCAAAGAGAGATTCTGTTAGATTTATATCAATAAATATATACTCTGAATTGTTCCTAATCATACTGACATCAAGGAGACAAGGAATTAAGTTTAGTGTATTGGATATTATCCCAATACGTTGATCCTTGGGATAATCAATTTAATTCATTATGTTTAATTGATATAACGAGTCATGTCCCGAGTGACTGAGTTTTATTTCCATATATCATGTATTGCGTTTTCAATTCTATAAATTTCCAATTTTGATACTGGAACTAATTCATAACATTTAGGTGTAAGATTTTCTGCAGAATTGAATAGCATGTTAATGATATTAAAATAAGTGGATATAGTGATTAAAAATTGTAACTGTCGAAGTTTAGGACAATTTACTTGGATAAATCAAAGAAACGTAACAAATGTTATAATCTTTTCTTTCATTTTACTATGTTTTTTAAATATGCTTCTATATGATTATGTTTTTACTCACCTGATTTTAGGCACGACCATATATAAAAAGCTTGTAATACATATGCGAAGCTCTTTTTAACAGATATTTTTATTGGTTACAATAAAATGATTCTTTACACTGGATACAGTGAAGTTCATTTTTGCAAATTCTAAATTATTTTCATCTCTTGTCTATTAGAAATGGTTATAGAAATACTTTATAACATTCAAATGTTTCCATATTTCCGTGTTTCAGATATTAAAAAATACGATTTTACGGAACAGATATGTCAGAAAAACCTCCTCCACCTTACAGTATGTACAATTTTTAAATTTATACAGAACGAAATGTACACGATAATTGCATAACACACCTGTATTACAATGATTAGATATGGGACATGATGATTTAACTTATCTTTGTTGAAATAAAAATATAAATAAAGTAACATAAACAATAAGATATGATTGACAAAGAATACAAAAGCGATTTGTCAAAAATGTCAACAGATACGAGCATTTTGATATTTTTCTTCTACAGTCGCTCAGAGTAATGGACATCCTCATTTCAGGTGCTTTAAAGTGTATAAAGCTATATATCTACTGCAAAAATTATTGTTTGAATTAAATATACAACAACAAAGATACTTCCAATATGCTTGTATGAATGGTAATAAATTGCCTTAATTAAAAGTTAAGGACGCATTCACCAAATTATTCTTTAACACATAAAATCCTACAAAAAGTGGCAAAATAATGTTTTGTTCATAGAACATGAAATTCTGTTTACTACAATATTCGTGTAAACATTCTATGTTACAACTTCTTTTAAAATCATAACAATCAACCATAAGATTATTGAGACAATATATTTATTTTACTGTAAATTTTATTTTGAATATTAAATTTTTTAAAGATATAACTTTAATACTGTATATTTTAACAGTCTGATATTACTTAACTAAGGACATTTTGTCTGATTTCAGACTTTTCCATTAGGAGAGATTAATACACGGAAGAGTATGGCCGGAAGGTGATAATCGGCCCGCAAAATGAATAATGGCCCCGATGGCTTCAGGGCGAATTATCACCTTCTGGCACAACTTACCTACCTACTACATATCCTCTTCGCTCTGAGCGGAGCATAATGTCAACACAAGGTTTCTCCATTCAGTCCGATTCTTTGCCCTTTTCTCCGCCTCACCACATGTCATTTTCAAGTCTTTTAATACATTTTCCACTGTCTTCCTCCATGTCATCTTTTGTCTTCCTCGTGGTCTTTTCCCCTGTGGTGTCCATCTTAGTGCCGTTTTGGTGATGTTAGCATTTGGCATTCTGAGGACGTGGCCAAGCCAGCGGAAACGTCTCTGTTTTATTTGTTAGACGATACAGATGGAATCAGTCGTCTTTAGTAGATCGATGTTGGATATTTTGTTGGGCCAGTATATTCTGTAGATTTGTCGGAGGCAGCTGTGATGAAAGCTAGACAAAGATCTCATGTCGGCATTGGTAATTCTCCAGCACTTGCTTCCATAGAGTTAAACTGATTTGACATTGCTGTTGTATAATCTAATCTTGGTTTTTCTGTTGAATTGTTTGTACTTCCAGATGTTGCGTAGTTAATGAAATGCTACTCTTGCTTTACTCTTGATATCTTTCTGTGTTGAGTCTTCATTACTTAAGATGGTTCCAAGGTAAACAAATTTGTCAACTTCCATTATCTCATTTCCTTCTAATTTTAGTTTGCTCTGAGATGTGTTGTTACATCTCATGAGCTCAGTTTTCTTTGAGTTAATTTGGAGACCAAGTTGTCTTGCAAAATAGCTGAGTATGTTTGTTTTTTCTTGCATATGATCTTGCCTAGTTGACAATAAAGCAATATCATCTGCAAAGTCCAGGTCTTCTAGTGTTGTTAACATAGACCAAATAATCCCTCTCTTTTCGTCTTCGACAGTTCTTCTCATGACCCAGTCTATAGCGACGAGGAACAGCATTGGAGAGATGATACATCCTTGTTTTACTCTAGAGTGTACTGCAAACCAGTCTGTTTCTTTATTATTAAATAGGACAGCACATTCAAAATAAGTATAGAAGCACTTGATTAGGTTGACTATCTTTTCTGGCACTCCATAAGATCGAAATATTCTCCATAAGGTGTCACGATGGATGCTGTCAAAAGCTTATTTAAAGTCGATGAAATTGACAATAAGAGGTGTTTTCCATTCTTCTAAAACCAGCCTGTTCTTGTCTCAGATGTTTGTCTAGTTCCTTCTCGATTCTGTTCAGGATCACACGACAGAATATTGTGCTTGGTATAGAGAGTAGTGTGATACCTCTCCAGTTATCACAGTTTCCAAAATTGCCTTTTTTTTTAGCTTCACTATAAGATCTTTGGCCCAATCATTTGGTATGCAATCATTTGGTATGGTATTTTCCTCCCAGATAGTAGTGAAGAGATTGTGTAAAGCTTCTGTCTGATGTTGTGAGATCAGCTTTTAAAAGTTCAGCTTGAATTCCACCTAAGCCTGCAGCTTTCCCTGTCTTAATTGATTTTATGGCTATGGCTATTTCTTCTTTTGATGGTGTGCTACTGTTTATATCAAGTTCATTCTGCTGTTGTTATCCTTCAAAAACTTCTACTGAGTCAGGTCTATTTAGTACATTTTTAAAATGTTCAAGCCATCTTTGACTGGTGGTATCTGACTTGCTTTTCCGCTTAATTCTTTGGTAATTTATAAACAGTGTTGAAATCATCCCTGATGGCTGCTTTCTCTGCTTCTTCAGCACGTTCTTCAACATACTTTCTCTTATCATTCCTTACTGATTTCTTTACTTTCGTATCCTTTTCCCCATACACTTTTTGCAGTTGTTCTTTAAGTCTTGGTGATTAAGTGTTTAGAGTCTTTTCCTTAAGCTTTCTCCTTTCATCGATAATTTTCCATGTGTCTTGTGATAACCATTGTTCATCATATTTGTTTCTAAATCCAATAGTCTTTTCATCAGTTTGCTGGTAAACTTGTTTGATGTTTTCCCATTTCTTTTTAAGTGATTCTTCAGAATGGTCAAGATCTTCCAGCACTTTAAATCTGTTTCTTATTTTAAGGCAGAATTTCCTTTTAACTTCATCATCAATTAGTCGTTTTCTGGCACAACTAAGACGTGTATTAATGTCTTAAATACACTTGGTAGATCTAATAGTCTAGTAGCATTTTTTTTATTAAAAAAAAATAATTTGAAATTTGTCTCGTTGAAATTCCTGTCTGCATTTTTATTGTACAGTATAGTAACTTCTACATAGTTGTTTACTTTTTGTATGTTCATCTATTGTAGAATCTAGAAGCAAGTTTTATTTTCATTTTTTTCGGAATGAATTTGTTTAATTTAATTTGTTTCTTTAAATTTCAATTTCATAGTAATAAAACTGTTTGTGTACGAAATACGCTTCAGCTCTCGTAACAAATCAAGCGATTCATGCTTAAAAATCTGGAAACAAAGTGATCCCTCGGAAGCATTAATCACAACAAAATTACATAAGAATTGCAGACTTGGCTCAAACCTACTTTTACTTTTACAGTTAACTGTTTGATGACGTAAAATATGACGTCATTGTTTCAGTTTGTGCATGTGCACATTGACTAGTTATCGGCCCCGGGCCGCAAACTCATAATATGTCACGTGACACTCATAAGTAAGACCATTACTAAATGACTAAATTTGAGGAATGACATTTACATTACAGTTATCAAAATGAACTTATAATTGTTTTCAGCATATAATCAGCCAGGTCAGCCAGGGGGATCTGGTCAACCAGGTCAACCAGGGGGATATGGCCAATCAGGTCAACCAGGGGGATATGGCCAACCTGTCCAACCAATGGGATATTCCAGCAATGTTATTGTAGTGACTCAGCCTTCAGCTGGCATGACTGCAAGAGTTGGATCTTGTAGACATTGTGGGGTATGTCTGTAGATAATATGATACACTAATCTTGTTACATATTGTTATCAAAACTAGTATAGCTTATTTATTCTTTTATTCAAATTAGACATATTCAATAACAATTTCATAGATTTCCATAAATTTCTTTGATAAAAATATTTTTCTAAAGGATGAGCATAGTATATCTTAATCTCATGACAGCATTGATTGTATCACATTTAATAATAAGAAAATCAAAGGACATTAATGTTTTTGTTCATTATGATCTACATACACTTTCAACCATCTCCTGCACGTAAATGTATAACAGTATTTTTCTGTTTCAGATTGGCTATCCACACACATCCTTTACGATATGTGGTATTCTATTGGCCATCATATTTTTCCCACTCGGCATTCTTTGTTGCTTGATGCTGACAGAAAAAAGGTGCTCACATTGTGGTGCAGGACTTTAAAATCACTACAGCATGTTTTATATCCAGGTTTATACCTGAGAAAAAGAGAGATTATCTTAAACTTAATAAAAAACATATCTTATCAAGATTATAATTATGAACCGCCTAACAATAACTTCTATAAATAGATTTGATCACGTGACAAAAAGAACCGTCAAAACTGTACCTTAGTTGAAAAATTCTGATATATCTGTACCCTGATGAAGGCTATTGAATAGCCGAAACGTAGGTCTAAAATAAAATTATAGAAACCTGACCCACTTTGTTTCGTGTGTTTCACTTTCTTTATTCTTTTTATTGTTTTACAAGATTATAATTATACAAAACTGAAGAAGACAAGCATTTTACATTTCATTGTCAACTTCATTGTGATATCTGGATGTTAATTAATGTAGCTTTCTTATTTTTTTTCATCCCAAAACTTGTTTTTCAAACTAAAATGTACTGTATAGTTTGAGAAAGTCTTGTTACTTTCCCCTGCCTTCTTAGATTTTTAGCTTATATGAAAAAGACAAATGCTGTTCAAACATATTTCAGATTTAAATAATGATTCCGAAAAAATAAATCACAAGATTTAAAAAAGAAGCTTTTTAGGTTTTATGAATATAAAAATGTTTTTGATAGTTTATCTCTTTGTTTAATTTAATTCTACTTAACTCAATAGAAAGATCATGGACCATTAAACGTGTTTGAATTATTTATTAATTTTTTTTGAATTATTTGTTTAAAAAATAATTTAAAATAATTAAGATGTTTTTACATGTACTTTTTTATTACTTTTTTTAATTCACAGAATTTACTAAAGGCATCAAAATTGTATTTGCTGTTTGCATGCATGGAATTTTGTAGATGATTTTTCACTCCTTTTTAACACTTATTTATAAATCACAAACTGGGGTCAATGTTAAGTTAAAAAAATCAATCTAGGTAGTTTATGATGTATACATATATGTACATAAATATTAAACACTCTATTCACACAACTATGTCACTTAATCTGGTGGAAACATGAATTAAACTTTTCATTTATGATTGGTAATGTCATTTCCTTTCCTGTTATTTTGAATACGATATTTCTTTTCAGTTACGGTTTGTTTGAAAGTGATATAAGATACGCTTGTATGTCATAAACTTTTTAGAATAAATATGGTAAATTTAATTATTGACTGATTAATTATTTAAACTTCCAAATCTCCATAGAACTGAATCTTCAAAATACCCTACATTGATTTCTTTATGATAGTCACTCTTAGATTTTTTTATTTCTGCTCAATTAAACACAGAGTTATGAAACCTTAAAAGCCCATTATACCTCACAAATGCTTTTCTTGTTATTTCTCAAAAGATTTTTATTTTTGATGTTCTTTTTTATAATTAAAGTTTACAAAAAGTTACAAAATGACCAATCACCTGAACCATCGTTTGCCTCTATTGTTCAGTTATATTGATTTAGAGTTTTGTATGGAGGTAATAAAACTATTTTGTTTACAATTTGTATCCTTTATGACATTATTGTATGTTCAGCACTTATTTTGTCAGGTGATAAGCATGTAACATACTTTAAAACTATTCTTTAAACATAATAAAACTCATGTCTGTCCTTCCTAAAGAAAGAAAAAAAAACTTTTTTGAGCCTTAATAAACTTGACATATTTATTTTGTTTCCCTTTTTTTCAATATGCTATTTGTTCTGTACATAAGTCAATATATTTCTTGGATTGAGTCATAAAAACAAAGGTCATACATATTTCAAAATTTATTATGGTTAACATAATGCTTGCATCTTATGCAAAAATGTAAAGACATTATTTACAGTAACTGACAGAAGGATATACATATAGCCCATATACAAATTTAATGCTGTTTAAATGTTTCTATACAGTAATTTAAAACAAGATTATGGATAAAAAACTTTATTGCACCAAAAAAAGTTGTTTCTATTGAAAATTTAATTCGCACACAACATTTTCTTCATAGAAGATGTACTTATAAATAAATAACAATTTTTTTACACATATCAACTGTGACTATTGTTTCTCCAGAACAAAATAGTTGTGATAAGTTTTATCAGTTTCATTTGGAATTTCACTATAGTCCTGGGATTGATCAAAGGACGACTGTTTACTATTCTGTTTTTCAAGAATAAAATATTGATGGTTAGATACTGGCCTCTCATTGGCTGTTGGTTTTGAACTGTCAGCCTCATTCTGAGGATTCAAGGCAAAATAGTTCTGATTGGTTGCATCAGTATTTGTGTCAGAGCCTTTGATTGGTTGATTTTGTGTTAAAGAATTGTATATGTTGCCATTGGCATTCTGCTTTGAATTATTATTAACTGAACTTGGGATAACATTGTCAGAGAACTCCTGGTAAACTGGCGAGCCAACTGTTTTAGGATTTTTCATTGGTTTATTCTGAGGGGATTGATATGAGCCGCCACCAGCCATTGGCTCAAAATATTCTGGGGAGTCTGGCTGTAGCCCTGAATACGTATGTGAATCTCTGTTGTTTGTCATTCCACCAAGGGTGTGGTACCCGGTCTGTATAGAGCCTTGTGATTGTGGGGGAGCTGAAGGAACTACAGGATAAGATATACTTGATTCTACTGGAAGCGTGCTGTCTGCAACCTGCAACAAATTAGAAAGAAAAAAAAAGCTTTAATTACATAAAACAATGAAGCTTTGGTAATAAAACAGTAAAAAGATAAAAGAAATTTCGTAACTTTGATTATCAGTGTGAGTTTAAACCAATTTTGTTTGTCTATCTTCCTATAAGTGGCTTATACATGTATTGTTTGGTTTTATTAACCTGTCAATTACATACTGATTACACGGTCGATGCACACAGTATATTAATCTTCGGTAGATTTTCGGTAAGTTCCTTGAGATGTACGCTTTACGATGGAATTTAATTTAATTTGTATCTCTCAACAAAGTGTACTCAGCGTTATAGCGCAATAGGGTAAAGCACGAGTTTATATTCTAAGTGCCACACGTGTTTTAAGTTCGAGACCGCGTAGGTCTATGTTTTTATTTTCTTATTAATACTTTCAACAATATTGGAGCTATATATGATTATTTTATGTTGTTCGTTTTGTTTTATTATGTTTTACTTAATTTTGTTATATCTATATTCTTTTTAAATAACATGTTTTAAGAATTCATGTTTAAAATTAAAACGGATTTAAATCAATAAATGTCTTTTCAATGCTGTAAAACACACTACAAACTGTTCCATTAAAATATACGGCAAAAATTAAGAAAGAGTACTAAAACAATGGCAACAGTAAGGATCGAACCACAGACCTCTAATTTATCAGGCATTCTCTTAACCGACTGTACTATTGTGAATTAACGAAAACCTTCACATTAAGCTGGCGTGACTTTCAATCCATGACTAATATACTCCACATTAATTCTCGTAAACTACACGGACCAAACCGAAGTGGGATCGAATATTTAAATGAGTTCTATAATGTATACATAATTGACAGGTCAATAAATCAGACTATATAAATGGTTTAAGTGTTAAGCATAGGAGTTACCTCCCTTTAGCTATAATTATCACATATCATGATTAGAAATAGAAAATGCTAAAAAATCACTAGAAAGTAGTAAAGGGATAAACTAATTACACAGTAGTTCCTCAAAAACATTATTTGTCAATTTCTTTATGTTTTAAAGATAAGTGATTTTTTCTATACTTTCAAAGGAACTATTAGAAGACAATGAAGAATATAGTTTTTTATGTATCATATTTAGAAATGACTCTGGAATTCTGGGAACTTGACTTACCGATGGAGCTAAACCTTGACCTTGAAATCTGTCATCTGGAGATGTTGAATTGTCTAAACTTATTCTTCTCTTCTCTGATCTGCTGAAATAACAAACCAGTACAGTTTAAATATTATTAGGGTCACAGCAAACATGATACTGAGGGTCACACAAAACATTATCAATAAGACACTTGCACCAAACATAATTAGGGTCACACTAAATATTCTACTGGTTACAACAAAGATTATTAGTGTCACTCTACTAAAGTCATGTCAAAATTATATCTTATCTGATCTTCCCTGTCCACTTTTTAAATCAAAGACAAGAATAAGTAAAACTGCTAAGCAATATTATACATTAATCAACAAAAGGTATTGCCTGTTTTCTTTTTTGTTGACATTTCCATGTAAAAACAAAAACCATTTTTAAGCTGTTTTGGAACTTTTATAGAAAATGTAAAAATAAAATTACAATAATGTTTCTCATTGAAACATTTTGCAATGTGCATTAATAAAGCTACTCTTCCACACATGGTTGAGTTTTGTATATAAAATATCATCAAAATAAAAAAATTACACAATAAGTTTATGTCTTACATAGAACTTAATGTTTAGTAAACATCTTCCTTCTATATATAACATCTCATTAGAGTTTTAGTACTTGATCCTGGTATAAATTAAAACTGTTGCAATATTGTTATTTTTTGGAAGAAATTGGTAAGTTTTAATTAACAGTAGCAAAATGGTAAGTGGGACGGTATAAGCAAATATATATACATATTTATTTATTTATTTTTTTTTTAAGAATACCTACCTATTCATAGAGGGAACACAAACACAGATTACGCCTGTCACCACAGCTCCTATAACCAAACCAGCAATCAACAGCCCCACAGCTAACCCTATTGAGATCCCAGTTGTCTCCCCTGTCTGGTGACACTCACATGGTTTACATTCCTCTTTGCGGTTATGTTTCCCTGTGAAAAAATAAATCAGTAAAGCAGCTCTCCTACATATGTTTAAGTTTTATTAAAGTTTTTTTGTGTTTTTTTCTAAATTCAATTTTAAACAAAGTACATGAAAAGTGTAAGAAATGTATAAAATTAAAGGCAGTAAAAACTACATATGAAAATTTCACAGAATTTGTCAAAATATGTGGAAATACCTCTTTGATATTCACTTAAGGTTATTGATTTACTTCAACAAACCAAATATAAATCAATTATTAAAACTTCTATCATTTGACTAATTGTCTATTTATTTAGCTTAAACTCATAAACATATTTTACAATATTAACTAATCAAGTACGTATAGTTTCATCTTTTTTTATGATTCTAGATTGTTGTAATAAGATCTGACTCTGACACATTGACAACTTGATTGAAAGTTATTGACATTATAACAATAAAATCTAATTTGGGACATCAAAACAACATTACATTTCATTTGTCATCTTCAAGTAAAGCAGGAAGAAAGGAAAAACATTAATCAAGGCCTTGTCTAGAGGTGGAAAAATTTACAAAGGCCCAGATTATTGTATGCTCATTCTTGAGTAAAATATTTTAATCACAGAAAATTATTGAAATCTATAAAACTCTTACTGAATTTGTTTAATTTGAACAAAAGGATGAATAAACTTTGTATGGGAAGTTGTGTTATAAATTTGGTCTTTTCTTTAAAAACTGCCAGGTTTTTTGTTGTTTTTTACAACACTATATATTCATAATTATACATGATGAAAATTGACCACTTTATATTTTGATTGTTGTAAATGTTGATATCATCCTTTTTTCATTATTTTTTTTTAAAATCATTACAAGTTTATCTATAATTACTATAATTAATATGAGTGCCAGTCGGATGAATGAATAATAATATCTAACCTTTACATTCAAGAATATGAATAAAAAATTTTTGTTTATTCAAAAAGATTTTAAATTTTGTATAGATATACATTTTTTTCTTTGTTATTGTTAAATCAGAAGGCCATACTGAAAATAAGTATACTTCTTACTGTGTAAACTTTGTATGTTACCCTATATAAATAAAGATTTTATTATTATTATTATTATTATTATTATTATTATTATTATTATTATTATCATTGTGACCACCTTAAGTGAATTCTAGACATAGCATTTCTACTTTGTGTGATACAAAGAGACTGTGTAGCAATTATCATTATTTTCTAATATCAAATTTGAGCATAGTAATTTTTAAGCTCCCAAAAAAATATCTTTTTAAAAAAAATTCTCAAACACTTTTTTGTCCTGTACAATTTCCATTAGAATACTCATTGAAAAAAGAGTTAAATCACCTTTTGCTTATTTTTGTAATTAGCGCAGTTATAGTTATTTCGAATTTTGAAAGGGAGTTAAAATAACACTTTGTTTACATTTTGCTATCTTTATGACAAATTATTATACATTAACAGTAGTTATTCCTAGTGAAAAGCATCTAACATGCTTTAAATACCACTTAATACATGTTAGCCCCTTCTATAAAAGAAAATAAAAATCATATCAGAGGCATAAGAATAATGTGCCTTTAATATATGAATTCTTTTTTATAATTGTATAGTGCCTTTTTAATATTGTTTAAAACTGCAAAAGTAATTACTGTAATTTTATTTTATTGCATATATAAACTTGCATAAAATATAACCATACTACCTAAGCCGTATTAAGATATTAATATATTAACCATGGTCTCTATCAAAGCCACATTTACAAATTAGGATATTTACCATGGTCTCTATCATAGCCACATTTACAAATTTATATATTAACCATGGTCTCTATCATAGCCACATTTACAAATTAGGTTATTTACCATGGTCTCTATCATAGCCACATTTACAAATTAGGATATTAACCATGGTCTCTATCATAGCCACATTTAGCAAATTAGGGTATTCACCATGGTCTCTATCATAGCCACATTTACAAATTAGGATATTAACCATGGTCTCTGTCATAGCCATATTTAGCAAATTAGGGTATTCACCATGGTCTCTATCATAGCCATATTTAGCAAATTAGGGTATTTACCATGGTATCTATCATAGCCATATTTATAAATTAGGATATTTACCATGGTCTCTATCATAGCCACATTTACAAGTTAGGGTATTTACCATGGTCTCTGACTCTTATCATAGCCATATTTACAAATCAGGGTATTTACCATGGTCTCTATCATAGCCACATTTACAAATTAGGGTATTTGCCATGGACTCTATCACAGCCATATTTAGCCAATTAGGGTATTTACCATGGTCTCTATCATAGCAATATTTATAAATTAGGATATTTACCATGGTCTCTATCATACCCACATTTACAAAGTAGGGTATTTACCATGGTCTTTATCATACCAACATTTACAAATTAGGGTATTTACCATGGTCTCTATCATAGCCACATTTACAAATTAAGGTATTTACCATGGTCACTATCATAGCCACATTTAGATATTAATATATTTACCATGGTCTCTATCATAGCCATATTTATAAATTAATATATTTACCATGGTCTCTATCATAGCCATATTTAGATATTAAGATATTTACCATGGTCTCTATCATAGCCATATTTACAAATTAGGGTATTTACCATGGTCTCTATCATACCCACATTTACAAATTAGGGTATTTACCATGGTCTCTATCATAGCCACATTTAGATAATAACATATTTACCATTGTCTCTATCATAGCCATATTTATAAATTAATATATTTACCATGGTCTCTATCATAGCCATATTTAGCAAATTCAGTGCTTGGTGTAGAAGATGAAAAGTCCCTAGTATTATCAGATGATTGTTCCAATGTTGTGACTTCTTGAATTCCATTTGTTGTAAGGAGCTTCTTCCGACATTGACCCTTTTCCTTGACACAATCTAGTCTACCCAGGAAATTATTTATTGCACAATTGGCATTTCGTTTTTGATGAACATAGCATTGAAGTCTATTATCTGCTATGTTATCACAATAGTGACAACTTGGTGAAATGCTCAAAACTGAAAGAAATAGAGTAATAAAATTGTAATGAAAAAAGCTTTTTATAAAATTTAGTGTGAATAAATTTGTACATTAAAGAAGAACGATAATAACTACTGAAAATTAAATCATTAAAAAGTTGGATGATTTAATTAAAGTTTTTATTAAACTCTTACCATAAAATGCAATATTTAGAGAGAGATTTTTAAGACACATTAAAGGACACCTATATGAAAAAATAATTTTTAAGACACCTGCATGAAGAGGACAGCAAATTAACTATAAATTACACAAATCAGAGTATCATACTGTATAACTCATCTTTACATTGAAAAATCAAAATTATTTTATAACATTATATATTAAATATATTATATAATATAAAGATCGATCTCAAATCATTAAGATAAATTACCATTCTTAATTGCTGGACAATTAAGTCCTCCATTTTCATTACAAAAGTTGATAGGTGGTGGACGTCCATCAAATGAGTCACCGAAACAGTCATTGACCAGTTTTTGTAACATAATACCGGCATCACCACTGCAACAAAAATAAAACACTTTGGTGCATAATGTTTTAGATGCAATTTGCAATCCTTTCCACTCTTTCAATCTTTTTGCAGTTGTCAAAAAGAAAATTGAGAATCTGAATTTTACCGGAGTATTGTTTTAAAATGGTGTGAATCAATACCCAAATCATGTAAAGAAAAATTGTTTGCAACTTTTCTCAGTACTTCGACCATCAAACAAGTAGCTTATATTGGTTGTCCCTTTTTTATCTTTTGTAATGCATTATGCATGTTTTCTAAGACAATATAAATTGTATAAATCTCATTATATTGAATTTCTATCTTAGTCATTAGTGAGTTATCTTGAACAATTTATATAAACTGTAATTATACTCTAAAATAGTATCATCGTTAAACCTATTATCTTCATGGAACACAAACATGAATTTTTAAGGTATGAAATTCTTCAGTTTAGGTAAAAAAAAATTAGAATAAAAACATAAAAAAAAAAATATAAAAAAAATATGAAATTTACCTGCAATAACTTTCCTCTATATCATCATGTAGAGCTAATATGTTGTCATCTGAAATTTATAAATATCTTAAAATATTTGACAATATATTTGTAAGGGCTATGTAGAGGATTGTCCTTAAGTTATCTAATGCTATAACAACCTAAACATTTGCACAAAACCTTTGACTTAATGTTTGCATATTTTATAATTTATAAGAATTGATAATTTAGACCCAATTTGGTAAGAAAAATTTAAACATCATGTTATCATTATTATATGAAGAAGTGTATAATCCTGCAGCAAATCTGAATCAAATATTAAAGAATTCAATTATAATATAATACATCAAAGTGCATAATTATTTACAGTTGAACACTGATATATTGATAAATAAAAATGAATACTTACTCAAGAAACTTAGTCCCAACAATATTAATAAGCCTCCACACTTCATCATAATCATAAATATTACTAGCCCTCTTGTATCTAAGTAGCCACTCTTGATTTACTTTAGTTTTTTTTAACTTTTTTACACAAATATTTACTATTTTCCTGTCAAGGCACTGTCTCCCTATCTGCCTATATTTATATCCCTCTCAGGAAAATATATTAACCCTAGTTGTCTTCTTTTTACACTTATATATACTAGAATATACAATGTATACTCATGAATTTCCCTGTATCACATATACTGGACCAGTGTATTCTAATTTTTGATCATTATACTATACTTGAAAAACAATTTACATTTTTATTGTCATCTCTGTCTGATCAGGCTTGATAAATTTACTTGATAACCTTTGATCTAAATATAAACAACACGTTTTTCCCCCAGGGCTATACAAACTTCAATTTGTTCACATGTAAGTATTTTTTCAACCCTTGTATCACTTATAGTGACGATAATTATGTCTCAAGTCACTTGATCATAACCACAAAATCGAATTCTCACGGGAAAATATTTATTTTGTCAGAATTTTGTCTTTTAGACTATGAATCAGATTTGAAAAATATGATTGTCACTCTCAAATATTTATTTTCCTTCTGATATATGACTTAATATCCCAAAAGAGTTGTATTTGAAATAAAAAATATCCAAGCACTTTTAATAATTATCAAGAGTGTCAAAATGCATCAAAATGTAACTTTATTATCTAGACTGCACTTGATTCAAAAGCTACTCCATGTACTATCACTTCCCGTCATCCTATAAAACTACTTGAAGATAAACATCAGGTATTTTACCAATTAGATCCTTTGCTAATTAGATGTTTAACACTAGAATGACATCAAGACTATATATGGAACATTAAAACATGACATCTGTCGTACACTGTTATAAACACAATTGTAAATGACCATAGCTGTTTGACGTACACAAACCTGTACTTCATATAAATAATGATACGCAAGATGCTCAGTGTTTAACGTCCGTTTGATTGGACCAATGTGTTACACTTATTTTGTTAGTATGTGGTTAAAAGGATGACATTCCCTCCACCGCAATGACTTACTCTTAATGATCGAGTATTAATGTTGAATACAACATGATGTAGTATTTAGTTCACACTCAATCTAAAATCTGCTTACTTTAATATTTGCTTCAGGGGTAATATACACTGATCACCTGAGATATCAAACTTCCTACAAAATATTTTCTTTCTCTTCTTTATATTAATCACTTACCACTTTTCCTCTTTTTATTAAATTATACTAGAAATGTCCAATGTAAAACTTCAGTAAAGTCTTGCCCATTTCACCAGTATAGAGCCATGCCAGCATGCAGGCGGGGAAGTCTGACCAGGCTCTATACTGTTGGTGCCTTACTCAAGTTAAATATTTTCATTACCAAATCCTTGCTGTATCACCAGGTATATATAATTATTATGTAATCTAAATATCTTATATAAACAATTAAAAATTTGAAATTCGTAACAAGTAAAGTCCATAACATAAATAAAAGTGAAGTCAAAATTAAAAGATTGTGAATTGTTAAACCAGCATACACATGTCTGTTTAGTGCAAAATGTCCTGTTCAATTAAATATTTGATTCAGCTGAAATAACATTAACTTTTACAGTCTCAACTCTTTGTGGTGATCTCTCTGCAAATGACCAAAGCTTTATTGTATGTTAGTATGAAACTTTTGTACATTGTAATTACATCTAGATAGTCATTAGCCCTTTACTGGGATGATAGTCTAACTTAATTGACAATTTAAATCCCGAGCAGATGGAGTGTATTTTCATGTAACTAAACTGGTTTTTCAAAAATTTGAAATAAGTTTAACATATAGACACTGTTAAAGTCAGTTCAATATCCTGGCAGCTGAACGCACCTTATATTATTTGTTTATCTTAGACATATTAATAAAATGCATGGTATCAGGTCAACTATGAAATTCAGCTTGGTAAGTGGTAATACACTTAACCCTTTCGCTGCCAGAGGGTTATTTATTTATTGATCACCTATTTGCCAGAAGGTTTTCTAAGAAATTACTATATTATTAATTAATATAATTATTATCATTTGTTATTAAATGTAAGTATTATAATAATTATATATGTTTCCAAATTTGCTAGTATTATAATAATTATTGTCGATGGTATAATTATCTATTTATATTTATTTATTATTATTATAATTATAATTATTATTATTATTATTATTATAGAAACGGCATATGCCATCCATATGGCAGTGAAAGGGTTAACATTCCATAGTAAATACAAGTCTATATATAAATTTGAATACTTTTTTCAAGGCCATACTTTCAACCATGAAGAATAAGGCATTCTTTTTCATACAGCATAACTAATACAACATAAATGGATAAAACTCCAAACATAAATCCAAGGTCTCATACAAGTGGTCTGTTGTACGGTTATTTAATATACCAAATGTAGAACCTAGTCACTCCATATGTCCTGTTAGGTTTAAGCCAGTATACAGTCATCAAAAACCAATACATCCCTTAATGAGTGTAAAAATCAATACATCAATAATATATAACAAGAAAAAAAAACAATTGGTTAATGATTCATGTTTTATTATTATCATGAAATGATTTTTTTACAAATGACATAATGAACACTGTTCATATACAATATATGTATACCTTACAACAACAAACAGAAAAAAACAATAAAAAAATTATCACAAGTCACGCAGTCAACATCGTACAACACGATCATTTTATACATACCTATAAAACATTCAAACTGTTAAGTGAAGTAAAGCATTAATTGTAGCGAAATTCGTGCAGTGTCATTAACAGTAAGGTTAGGCAAAATGTAATCTACATTTTTGGTTGTTTCATATCTGTCAAAGTTAAGGATAATTTATTTTTTTTTGTTTATTCACAATTTTTAGAAATTTTTCTAATATCACAAATAAGTGTTTTGAAAAATTTAAAAACCCTTTAATACTTTGGAAAAATTTGGGAAAGCGATCATTTTTTAAAATTTAAATTTAAAAAATTTTTTTAAAATTTAAAAATTAAAATAAAATTTTTTTATTTTTTAAATATCATTATCCTAAAATTTAAAAAAGGCCCCTTGTATGAAAGGCTTAAATCCCAGATTTATCAAAAAAATTTTCATTTTTCCATCGTAAGGAAAATGAATATTTATATTTTCACATTGTTTAACTTGTGGTAGTATATTATAATTAACTAAAACATTTTTGTATACATGTGTACACAAGAACACCAGTCTGTTGATATTTTAAGCTAAATGCATTTGCACAAGCATTAAATAGCAAACTCTCTAACAATAACCATGTTTCATATAATTAATACATTATAACACAAAGGCACCATAATTTTATACATTTTTTATTATAAATAACAATAAAAAATACATTAAAATTTCTTCAATTCTCTTTTCTGCTCACAGTATGAACAATTAAAAAAGTATTACGAGTAATTCTACATATTTATACATGTATATCCACTTAAAATATCACAGAATTTTCTCCTTTGCCTGAACATTTCATATAAATGACAACATTTTTTCCTTCATTTTTTTAATTTTCAATAGTTCATGAAAAAAATAAATATCAGAAGGAGTAATTCATGAACATATTAAATTTTCAACATTTATTTTAGTACGATTAAATATCCAATATTTCATGAATGTAGTTGAATTCAAGGGAAATAATACATGAACCTATTAAACTACACCATTAAGTACTTTCACATAAACCCAACAGTTCATGAATGTAGTAAAACTAAAACAGAATAGTTCATGAACATATTAAATTACACCATTTAGTAGTTTCAAATATCCAATAATTGATGATGTAGTAATATTCAAAAATTGGAATAGTTTTATTTGGGAAGTTTCTTAATTTCAATAAGGGGTTTAGGAACCAGGTTTTCTGATATGTCGCATATGTGGGCTGCCCAGTTCTGTGGCTTGAATGGAGGTGATTTGCCATATGGGCGGGGAATGGGCAGTTCACTATCATCATCAGGAATGTAAGCATTGGGGCGGGGCTCAGCAGTTGTAGTCACGCCTCCTGCAATCTGGTATTGCTCCTCCTCTTCTTCAATCTGAAAGAAAACAAAGCCATAATTTAATTTATTTTACATTTATTTGGAAAAGCGAATTACTTTAAATTAAATTGAATAAAGCAATTTTAAAAAAAATTACTACCAAAATACTTACTTTCCATATCATTTCTTTCAAAGTGGAATTGGGCTTTTACAAGATCCATTTTTCTGTACTTTTTTTATTTGGATTAACAAAACTGTAGAAACATTTTTTGCATAAAAATTGTGGCAAGCATTTTTCAGAGAATTTGTAGGGACTATTGTGTTTATAGAACCCAATCAAAATGTGTTACAAGTTATTCAAACATACCAATCTCTTTTCCTCATGCTTCATATTTGCTCTTCTATCCTCGTCTCGGCTGGAATTTTCAACCAATCCCCGTTTCATTTACCTCGGCTCGGGTGGCTCGCCCCTTCTCCATTCTAATATAAAACTGTTCTTAGCTTCGGATTTCTTTCTCCCTTTAAATGACTGCTGTAACCTCAGAGCATTGGCCTGGTTCATGGACACCTCAGACACCATAAAGCCATCATCTTACGTGTTGTGTTTCCTTTATTTTTGAATTGTAATTCATTCACCTAGAAAAACACAATAAGTTTTTAAAAAAACTATTAAAACATTTAACTTTTGTTATAAATGTTTTAAATGTTACAAAAATTCTTTATAAACTTTTAAAGTAATATATTAAAAAAAGACAGAATTTAAATTTAGAAGTTTTTTTGTACACTGAATATCCAAAATACAGCCATTCTTGGAACCACCACATATATTAGAATATTATGAAAAAGAATAGTTGGGAAGACTGGTGAAGTTAATTCTTTAATGCATATTGTTTATTATTTGAAGATAGGCCATAAGCTACATTGCTATACTGCCTAAGTTTTTGAATAAGTTCAAAAAGTCATGACACTTGCACTGTATTATATCAATTATAATAAGCTAGTAATTATTATAATAAGCTAGTAATTACCTTTTTGGCAAGATCTAGTGTATCATCCTTGCCTGTTTCAGCTTTGTTCCTCACTCTACCAGCCAGACGTGTCACTTGTTCAAATACCAAATCTTTCTCTAGAAGCTGTTCCTCTTTCTCAGCTAGCCGAGTTTCAAGCTAAAATGGTAAAAACCTCATTTAGTTTTTTCGTATGTTTTAACAGCAAAACATATATGGCCTTCTTTAGTTCAATTTAATCTTTATGTACTATAAGGATCTTACATCGGCTACCCGTACAGACCGGAATTTCTAGCTCGAGGGTAAATTTAAACCTGTCAACACTCAAAGAAGAATAATCGTAATACATAAACCATTACATATTCTCCAATGTCTCTTTAATAATTCTAAAATTGTGGCTTAAAAATGACAAAAGGTATAAAAATCTATTTTTAGCCTCAATGACCTTGAGACACTTGACCTAAAACAATATCAAATGTTGACGTTTCATAAAACATTCAGGCACACAGAATATGTCAGATATCAGTGCTATAAGAAATGGTGTGACAGACGACGGACAAGCGAGCTACTCTATATTCCATCAAATAATTTCTGAAGGCACAATTTGTGTAATTTTAAAACTATATATAAACCATCCATTAAAATGTCATGTAAATACAAGTACAAAGTCTTACATCTTCAATCTTCTCATGCATTTCTGCTGGTGGAAGATCTTTACCCTCAAGGTAACGAACACGTTTCTCATCGTAAGGATTCTCTAAATCTTTCTCCAACTCCAGCATACGATCCTGGCATTGTTGAAGCTGTATAGATAACAATATTCATACATGTATAACTTGCTAACTAGTCTTAAATGCATTCAATTAATGATCATGTAAAACTTTAAACTAACGATAATTTTATTTGAAGTTTGGTGAAATCCACTTTGTTACTGCTGATTATCATTACATTTCATGTACAAAATTAACACATGAAACATAAACAGACATAGATACATTGTAAATGTAATAAATAAGTTACCTGTATTTGTAAAGTGACTAGTTCTCCTTCAAGATTAACTCTGTTAGGTGTTTGAGCACGGAGAACACCAATAGAGCGTTTCTCTTCGTTCATCTGCATCTGAATAAACCGGATCTCTTCTTCCCGAGCTTGCAACTCTACGTTACCATTCCGGATCATTTGATCTACAAAAGATGATAATAAACTGATAAATCTATGAGAAAGAGCTTCAATTCTGAAAAAAAATATGTGCCATTACTTGATAATAAAAGGAAATGTTAATAGCTGCATTTTGACATTTTTCTACATTAATTATTTGCTTCAAAATACACAATTTGATTTTTAAGTTTAATTGCAGAAAAAGACATTTCAGATTCATAATTGTCTGATTTCATTTTGTAATAGTAGTATGTAACTCAAAATGTAAATTCATCTCTTCATTTAATGATTAAACAAAAAACAAAGTATGTACATTTGTATTTTAAGATGAATATACAAAAAGCTTTACCTTGAATGTTAACTTTTTCATAGAAAATGCACACCTCCTCATTTCTTTCAATCAATTTGATACCTCTGTGTAAAAATAAATACAGTAAAAGTTAAAGAAATGAAAAAGTTATGAAATATACACTATTATCTAAATCAGTGTTTGATTATATCACAATGTTCAATAATAAATTTACCTATTGCAACATGAGCAACACATTTATCAAGGGTTATTTGTGCATTTAGCTACATTTATCACCATTGTTTTGGTTCCTATAGAAACTAAATTTCAGTGGCCATTTTTTACCTTAAAAAGTTTAATGAAGAGAATTATGTGCTTCTTATTTATTTAAACGTTTATTTAGGTTCATGTCCACGATAAATTACAAATAAAATTGACTGTACATGAACAAACTGAATATGAATCTGTAGACGCTTTTTTTCTAAAACAAAAAGTTGCTCTCTCCATTGAGATATGCTACATGTGTTTTCAATTCAATCAAGAAACAGTCATACAAACCTCTCATTCCTATGTGTTATGGCTTTTTCATATCTATTTCTTAATTTTGTCATCTGTTCCTCTGCCTGATTAATCATAGTGTTTAATTTTGAAATGTCCATTTTCTGTTGTTCACGTTTTTCATGCATTTCTTCCTCAATTCTTTGTTGCTTGGCAACCTCATTCCTCAAACCATCTCTCATTACTATACTGTTCATATGTTTTAATCTCTGTTTTTGTAGATGTCTGAAATAAAGAATTATCATCAGAACAAAATGAAATGAGCAGTTTATGTTATAAAAAAGACATACATTAAAATGACAAAATACTAATGCGATCATAGGAGATGAAATTTGTAATAACATTAAAATGTAAATACTAAAATAGATATACTAACATCATAAAAGAAAATATGACATAAGAAAGTGAATGCTTCATGTTCAAAATAAATGTAGTGATATCATTATAACTAATAACATCTTCATTCAAATCCAGTGATATCAAAATAGATAATATGACAACAAAATCAATGTGCTATGACATCACAATAGGTATAGTATCATAATGATCATGTTATGACATCACAAGATGTGTAATGACATAATAATAGATGATATGACATCATACTTCATACACTATGGCATCATAATAGATGATATGACATCATAATTTGTACACCATGACATAATAATTAATGATATGACATCATAATTTATACACCATGATATCATTATAGATGATATGACATCATAATTTATATACTATAATTATGACATCATAATTCATATTCCATGACATTATAATAGATGATATGATGTCATAATTCTTATGCCATGACATCATAATACATCCACTATGACATCATAATACATCCACTATGACATCATAACAGATGATATGACACCACAATTGAATTCGTACAGTATGACATAATAATCCATAGGCTTTGACATCATAATAAGTGACATGACATTAAAATTTAAATGCTATCATAACAATGATTTGACTTCACAAAAGATGTAATGATACCATTATTAAAATGTTCACAATAGATAGCAGCATTATAATTCAAATACTATGACATCACAATCGCTGTAACAACTCTAGAATATGCACAATGATATAGCAAAAATGCATCAACATCCCTGTATCTTTGAATGACAGCAAAGTAAGTGGTGTAACATAATTATTGTTCATTCTTGCATCATACATACCTGTCTTTTTGAGTGACTGCTGTGCGTAGGATCTCGATCTCATTCTGCAAGATCTTGATCTTCTCTCTCATTTCTGCCGCTTTCTGAGTACTCGTCTGAATCAAGTTCACACACTTGTTACGTTCATTCTTTATAACATCATACAACTTGGCAAAATCTTTTAACCTGAAAATTCAAGTCAGTCATTAAAACACCTTTTCTGTAACTTGTACAGATCACTTATTTTACTTTTATAAAGAATTTTTATGGCACACTTATTGCTAAAGATTTAAGTTTATTTATGAATTGGAAACGACTTACTTAAGAAAACTCGTAATAAAATTCTAACATGCTTCACACAGTTCCCCTAACAAACAGATAAGACAATCAAGTGCATTATTACACAAGCATTAAAACGAATGCTTACACATCATATGACGTCAGATATGAGGTTAATAAACCAAATGATGTCAGGAAAATTAATTCTACAATTTTCTTTTTTATTATCATGTTAGAATGGTTTTATATTTCTGCGCATTTGAACTTGAACTGTGCATTATTCTACAACAATACACTCAAAATTGATATCTATTTCCTAAATAGACCCTTTGTTTAACAAGCAATTATCATAGTATTGCAAGCAATCCATAAGTCCCCTACCGGTTAGAACCCCCGCAACATTCTGATTTCAATTTTACCAGTAAATGAATGACATGAATGAACTTAAATCTTTTGAGTTCTAAGTTTGTCTATTTCACAGTAATGTGTTAAGTTTCCCTGCCTAGTAAGGCAATTATGTTTATACAACCTTGTCATATTATTACGATGTGGAATTTTAAAGTAAATCCTATAAGGAATGAAGAAGTTGGAGTAAAATATACCAATTTCTCAAAAAAAATCTAAATTCAAGGGGGACATAATTCTGGAAATAGTCTTGCTAGAGTATTTAACTTTCTCAAAAATGTTGAGTGATAATAAGAAACATATATATGAAGTTTGAAGTAGATACATTAGGAAATAAAGAAGTTATTTAAAAAAAAAAACATTTTTTTTCATAAAAATTCTAAGTTCAAGGGAGGTAATACTGATAATTTTTGTGCTAGAGTTGTAAACCTTGTCACATATGATGTGGTTGATGACCAGAAACTTATATTTAAAGTTTGAAGTAAACACCTTAAGAAATAAAGAACTTATAGTGAAAAAGCTGAAAAAATTAAATCAGAAATCTTGAAATCCAGGCTATTTGTTGCCATAGCAACCAGAATTTTCAACATAGGAAGAAAAGAAAAAGATGTGCATAATCTGCAGACTGCCATCTACCCATATTTTATGTTTCATAAAAATATTTTCAGTACTTTTTGAGTTATCACTGGATCCAGTTTATGTGTTAAATTTGCCATATTTTCAGACTATTTGTTGCCATAGCAACCAGAATTTTCAACATAGGAAGAAAAGAAAAAGACGTGCATAATCTCCATACTGCCATCTATCCATATATCAAGTTTCATAAAAATATTTTCAGTACTTTTTGCGTTATCGCGGGATCCAGTTTTGTGGACGGACGGACTGACGGACTGACAGACTGACGGACAGACAGACAGACAGACAGACGGACAGACGGACGGAGGGTAAACCTAAAGTCCCCTCCGGTTAAACTGGTAGGGGACTAAAAAGTAAAGTAGATTATAAGTATGTACAGTATTGTCTAACATATTAATCTATAATAATAATATCCACATTTTGAAGTAACTTACTTGACATGCATCTCCTTATGTTTTTTCTCATGATCTTGTATTTGTAATTGTTTAGTTTTTAGATCCTCAACAGCTTTGTGATATCTCATCTCAGCACGCATGAAATCTCGAGCTTTCTGTTCCCTTTCATCAGCCTTTTAAATCAATTTGTAAGCATTTTTAAATATCTTACACTTTATTCAAATGCATGCACTTGACATGTTTATATAAACAAGTTGTCACTTTAGTGTAGTAACGAGTTAAGTCTGCCTAAATTAAATAGGAGTTAACCAGTTATTGCACTAAGGTGACGAAGAATGTGAAAGAATGAAACAGAGTATTGAAAACAAAAATGATCAAGGATTATAATAATGCATGAATCTAATACTGTATAAGTGGATATATCTGTGTCTTGAAAAGTTAGCAAATCTTCCAGATTCCAGAAATTTTGCATGAGGAAATATTAGCAAATCTGCAAGGGTAGAGTTCAATGACAGGTTGAGTGATATTTGCGCTAGAGGAAATTTTAGCGATTTTTGTCAATTTGCCCAATTCACCAATATTTCTGTGTCCCTAAATTAACAACTTATACAGTAATGTCATTAATATTGCTTTTTGAAAAGTACATGTGTATAGCAACAGCAAAACAAAAATAAAGAATTAAACTAACATCATTAACAAATTTTTTTATTAAAAGAAATTTCCTATACATGTAATTAGTTTAGAAAACAGGATACAATGTTATACCTTAATAGCAGCCAGTCTAGTGAGTTCAACCACTTCAATTCTAAGATCACTTTGTTCATACAATAGATTCTGCTCCTCTGCAGCACTAGCCTCTAGTTTAACATGCTCAACAGCTGTTAGAGAATTCTGAAATATATATATATAATACATAGAATGTTTAAATCATTCTAAACTGATGAAAGCTGGTTAATGTTGTTTTTTAAATCCATTAACTCAGTCTTACCTATATAGCATTATGGAGTCTTGACAGATTTTCAGCAGTCAGCTACATAATTTTATCTTTATTTCATCTGATAATAAAATACCTAAAACTGATGGATAGTAGTACCAAATTTTAGACAACAAATTTACTGAAGTAAGGCTAAAGTAAAGTGAGTTAAAGAAATATTTTGATAATATTTTATTGCTAAAAAGGTAGAAAAAACAAACAAAATAAGCTCTAACTTGATTTCATTTTTTGTTTTTGTTTTGTTTTTCTATACATGTATATCAATCAGTGTTAAGAACAATTATCATTTTCACAAAAGTAATTCTTACAAACATCTTTCTCCTTTTTTGTCTAAATGGAAATCTTTTCAAAAACAGTTTAGATATATCTAACATATATCTATACATGTATATCAATCAGTGTTAAGAACAATTATCATTTTCACAAAAGTAATTCTTACAAACATCTTTCTCCTTTTTTGTCTAAATGGAAATCTTTTCAAAAACAGTTTAGATATATCTAACATATATCTCACATAAGCTCTAAAAAAAAAATGTCATACCTGAGTAGCCAAAGCCCGTTTGGTTTGTTCCACTTCTTTCTGTAGTTCTTCTCTTTTCTTATGAAGTGTGCCATCATCTTTGGGTAATGAATCCACCTGACCTTTTATTTTCTCATGAATTAATTTTGTATGATTTAATGTCTCTTCAGCAACCTTCATTTGAAGATCAGCTTTTTTCAAGTTTCTAATATCACGGTCTTTTTCTCTCATTTTTCTTGAATGAACGTCATGAGCATTTTTCTTTTCCAGATGAATATGGCGTAAGTTCAAGTCAAGTGTTGCCCTGCAAACATTTTAACCATAAATCAAAAGGTAAAATTTTTTAACAGCTAAAGTCATTTAGAATAAACCATTTTCAATCAAAATCTTTCAGCGTAAGCTTTCATTATCATTTTTTTCTTCATTGACTTTATTTAACTTTTTCAAAACATTTTGTGAAAGTAACAATTATTTTATCTTTATCAGCAACTATTAAATTTATCAAACGTTTACTTTTCAAAATTTTGCTAATTTTGCAATTTGAACTTTTACTTGGAATTTAGAAAGCATTGTTATAACTTGTATATAAAATCATATCATTTCTTCCATTCCACAAAGTCATTACATGTTAATGTTGCATAAAACCTTTGATTATATCCATAAATCAAAATTATTCAAATCTGACAAAAACATGTTCGTGCTAAGTCTAGAACACACATACCTTACAAAGCCTGCTTTAAAAAATAACTTCTAAAGCATTCTAATCAAATCCTGTTTGAACTTATTACTTGTAATCTACTTGTACAAGAAACATTTCTCCTAAATACTGTTCAAACTAACATACCTATCCCCCATTAACACAGCTTCTCGATCTTTTGCATATTCAAAATCTTTTTGTAGCACTTCCATTTCTCGATCCTTCTCGTTCAAATGTGATTTTTGTTTCTCAACATCATTGTCCATGTCAAATTTCTCTTCCTCCAGGTCATGCATTTTATTTTCTATGTTTTTTTTCTGAGCTATAATATCTTGGAATTCTTTATCTAAAGCTACTAACTGATTCTGAAGCTCACTGAAAAAAACAGAGAGTAACTGAACAATAATCCTTTTTTTTTTAATTTGTTAAAAAAAAGTCAAGTTATATTTTATATTGATCTAAAAATTTCAACAAATGTTTTATCAAAAAAATTCACATCAAGTAAATGAAATTTAAAAAAAAATGTTTCATACATTATTATGTCAGCTAAAACTTTAAAAGTTAGTGAAAGGATTTTAGTTTATTCACCTTAAGTTAAAATTGGCTAATTATGTCCCTTGACTAATGAAATGTAACATTTACAAATGATCAGCAAGTTACAACATTTATACTTACATTTAGGCAATATACCTATGATAATTGAAACAGTTGGGAAAACTTTGCCTTATGAATTAAGTTACAATGTTCTTTAAGCAAAAAATTCCTTAGTCAAGTCTCACCTTACTTAAATAATTACTTTATTGTGTAATGAAAGAAGAATGTGTACACATAATTTTTTTCAGGAGTGTAAAGATTTTAAGATTTTCTTACTTCTTTTTTCTTCCCAGTTTATCAGCTTCTTTTGCAATCTGGTTTGGAACAGTGTTAACTTGCACCAAATCACCCTGTCAATATATATATCTGATTTTAAAAATTACATTTTACAGCCATTTGTTTGTTTTTTTGTTGTTGTTTTTGTATAAGAATTATAAGATTATATAGTCTGTTGATCAAAGAATAATAGATAAAATTAAATGTCTGTTCAGGAATCGCCAGGGGATTTTTTCTGAAGAATTAAATAAATTTTGACAAAATACTGAATATTAGTAAATGCTTTAATAGTATGACAATCTAGATTTTTTTTACAGAATGCACTCACTCACTAAGTATCAAAATAACTAATTTAAAAAAAACTTTTATTTTCTTAAACAAAAAAGTAATACTTATAATAAAAATTTGAAAATACCAACTTTAACTTGTTAATATTTTCAAAATGTTTTAACATATCAACAAAATTTCATAGAAGCTTAAAACCAACTTTTGGCCTAATCTTTATCATTTCCTCTTTGAAATGTATGTATAAAAATAAAAGCCTCCTTACTTCTTAAGAAAATCCAATACTGCTGTTACAGATCAAAAGATATAGATCTCCAATTTACACTGTAACTGTATTATACAAGAATGGTAAATGCTTACCTTAAGATTTTCCATTTTTTCAGTGAGTTTTTCATATTCTTTACTATCCATGCTGACTTGCCTATTAGATGTATCTAAATCTTCTTTCAATGTTTTAACCTCTAGCTGTCTCTGAACAATTTCTTTCTTCATATCATCACACGCTTGTTGTAACTCTTTGATTTTCTTCTCAATTTCCTGAAAAACCAAACAGTATCTCACTCAAATTGTTGCTGAATTTATACAATACATCTGTCTTCTTTGAATTACAATGAGGAATACTATTTAATAAGGCCCCCACGTTTAAAAGGATTCGTTACGATTTTCATTCGTAAACGTTTACGACATTGCTTACCGTTTAATCGAAATGACCATATTATCTTACAAATATCTTGATCATAATTGCCTGTCATCATGGATTTTATCAATTCTAATTGGTTTATTCCAAAGTAAAAAACAGAAAATGGGTGTTTACAACCTTCCACACAGCATTGCTTTGCAATAATCGCTCGTGACATAATACATGTTTTGTAAATTTGATTTTTCTTTATCTTTCAAAAGAGAGAAATGGGGATTCAATGCAGAAAATGTGTGCTGACATAATCGTGATGACCCTTGAACATTATTTATTTGTTTGTTTTGTACATGTGTTAAAAATAGAAAGTAAGTCATCATCTGGCGACTCAAATACATGATGAAGTATAGAACATAGAAGTACCACAGTATCGTTTCGGTTCTTACCAATCGTGTAAACGTTTACAAAAAATTGTAAACGTGGGAGCCTTACTATTTAATGGTATATAATTATTTTGACGAAACCTTACAACAAAAACAAAAACAATGCAATAGTTTTCAAGATAGCAACTCCCACGTAAAAACTTAACCAAAATGTGTCGGCCATCCTGACATTGATGCTGACACCTCGGTGAGCACAATCACTCAAGTTAAGTCAATAATCAAGCTAAAAATAAATATTTTTATTTCACAATACATTATCAAATAATTTTACTTAAAGACACATTTGCACAGACAGAATTCCTGAAAAGCATACAGATGTGTTGTCAAATCTGATTACTATATTTTGTCACATATCAAATGCAAATTTACTTTGAGCCAATGATTAAATGTCTTACCCCAGCTTTTGGCATTCTAGAGTACTCTCTGTCCATCAATTTCTTCTCCTCTGTAGAGCTATAATATATCAAAATTATAATATTTTTAAAACAAATCAAAAGGACAAGACAACAATGAAGAATTACAAATACATGTGATTGTGAGAGAAAAATCAGAAATGGATGGTAACAAATAAATGTTAACAAACAGATAATAACACAAAGAAAATAAGAAATGGATGATAACAAATAAAAGATAACCAATGGTTGATAACAGAGAGTCAATTAAAGCTCCAAAAAAGTATAAACTGAATTTTACTCAGTACATAAAATGTAATTATTTTTTAAGAAAGAAAGAAAACAAGCTTACATTTCTATTTGATATTCTAGCTGGTACTGCCTTTCTTGCGCTTGTTTCAAGTCATTGTTATACTTTAACAGTTGCTGCCTCATCTTTGAAACCTCTGTGTTTGAACCATCGGGAAAATTGTCTGCTTTCTCTAACTCTAAACGTTGACGATCAAGTTCAGCAGAGCATTCTTTTGCCTGAGACAGCAAACGAGTCTCACTCTCCCTGGTACTGAAAAAATAACGCATCGAAATCAGTATTATACATTAAACAATAATTCTTTGAAAATCGTACCACATTCAGTTGAAAGATAAATTCAATATCAAGATTGCTAGAATTTAATTCATTTCTTTGTTTATATAAAGAAGAAATTTAAAAATGTAATTTTGAAATGGGTTTAACAGATGATAATTTTCATATCTTATAGTCAATCTCTGGGGTCTGGGTAAACATTTTTTCAAATTAAGGTAACAAAACATTTAATGCAATTTTTCTGTAAAGATGGTTAAAATAAAACATGTTACATATAAACAGCTGTTTGTTTATGGAAAAACTACTTTACAATTTGTACATTGTAGATTATCTGCTAAAAAGCAAGTTCAGAAACAGTAAAAGTGTACCAGTGTTTAATTCATGACTTGACAAATTAATTTAGTCAGTTACTTACTTTTTAAGTATTTCATGTAACTCTGTGTACTTTGCTTTCAAATGGGCAACTTTGGTACCAGTTAGCTTTCCTTCATGAAATAACTGAAAATATTCAAGTACATTGTTTGTATGTTATAAACATTCTTTTCCAAAAACAACTCACTTGATACATGGTAAGTTACGTGTCCTTTCTAATGTAATAATCATTTTGAACCAATCTGGCCATTTAAAAAATAGTATTATCCCGAGCTAATTATCAATTTTCATTAATAGTGCCGAGTGAACACATTTATATTCACACAAGTTTGTTTCAAGTTCGCCACTTCAACATTTCAATTAATAAACAAGTCATACAGAATTATTATTGAAAGAACATTACCATTACAGTCAAACATGATTAAGGTCATATACAGAATACATCTTAATAAAAGCAAAATCCAATCTTTCCTTAAAGTTTTTTAACAAACACAACTTTGTATATTTTCTCTCAAGACTAAAATTTACAAACGCATCTGACTTTTCTTCATTATAAATTGTTCTTTTTTTGCCAATGTTGATTTTCAAACTTAGTTTACCCTTTATGTTTGTAAAGAGCTTGAAGATAATGTTCTTTGTTACATATGTATACTGTCTTGTTAACATCAATTTTCTTATATCTTAGACAAGTGCATGCATCTAGTATAGATTATTTATAAGCAAAGCAGTATTTATTACCTCATCCAAGCACTGGAACGCTGGACTTGCTGACACTTCTACCTGACTCTCTTCTTGGTGTATGACTTTTGGGGGCAATGCTGAAATGGGCGCAGCATACTCCATGTTGTCAGGGGAGCTGTCTTCCTCCGCTTCCCGCATGTCTGCTCCATCAGCCCCACTATCACTCATTTTGGACCTGCAAGTGATAAAAAATATGATTTTATCGGACAACTCTGAATGGTGTAAAAGATATGAAGTTAAGAACAGAGAGTAATAGTATATTTTGAGAGCATTTATTAACTTTATCAAAATGCAAAATTCAAATAAATAAAACATTTCAGTAAATAATATAGCATGCAGTAATCCATCAGATGAAATTTAGTCATTTTTTTTATAAAAAAATAACAGACATCTTTTGTACACATATTTAGCCAGATGAAGACTTAAAGAGTTACCAAAACATGTAAATTAGACTCACACAGATACATGACACAGTATAAGCATAACTTACAGTTGATTAAACCATCTTTTAATCTCAGGAGTTATATCATTTTTCTGACTTCGGAACATAAAATCTAGTATTTTCTGATCAAATTCTGACATTATTTCCATATTTTCTTGAAGAAAAGCAAGTTTCATTTTCCTTTTGGGCTTTTGTTTATTATCCATAATGCTGATAATTATAAACTGTGAACTGTTTTTTGTTTGTTTGGTTTTTTTTTGATGTTCTTTTTTTCAAATTTAAAAGAATCAGATTTCTTTAATCTGCTTTAAAACAAAATTCCCATCCACATGTTGGTAGGTAAATCTGTTTACTGCGGATCTTGTCTAATAGTAAAATAGGACTTCTTACATAACTACTTTCAATTAAAATTGATTAGGTCATGCAGCTTAATTAAATATTCAAATGTAATTAAATGCGTCTTTGTTTTTTCTCTCATTTCCACTCTTGCGTAAGGAAGTTCATGGAAAACAAAATAAAACTACAAATCGGACCAAAGTTTTTGTAATGCAATCAATAAGTACAAATATACATCCAATTTACAGGTTCTTGTTAAGTTCTCATACTGTCTTGAAATGTTTGAATAGAGCGATGATAATGCAAAAAAGAAATTGTAAAATGAAAAATAAAAGGTAAATCAGACAGATTTTTTATGCATATGGATGTACATGTACATCATGCGTGATTAGTTTTAAATCTTTGTATGAGACCAAATAATATCCAGTAATAAATTAAAACATGCAGCATTTCTCCTAATCTTGAATCTCAATATACTACACAAAGGTACAGGTAGCTTTGTACTTCAAAAGTACAAAAATTTGAGCCACCTTGTAATTTCAAGTATTGCGAATGACTATGAAAAAGACTCCATTAAACAGTGCTAAAAGCTTGTGTGCAAATTTTCAGACCAATCTCTCACCCTGTTTTTCCACAATAATCATTTATATTGTGCAAAATCAGCCACAAATGAAATGGGCTAAGAATTGCACTATTGATATACTATAAGTATGTATTTCTATATTATCCTTGAAAGATTTTGATATCATTTTAAGGTGACAAACAGACACTTTCCGTGGTACTCACATAAATGTCATTTAAACCAAGTTATTTTAGTAATAATTGTTATTTATTTAATCTTTGTGCATTAAATGTCGTTGATCATCATAAAAAGTAACATATTTGAAAAAAATGCCTTTGTAAATGATTGATTTTGAATAAAAATCCTAAAATTTTAAATCGTCATATCAAAGTCATTTTTTATTTTTTTGTCATCAAACTTTTGGAAAATAACCATACTTATATTATCTGGGGAACCGTGTCTCAATTTTTTTCTATCTTTTCTCAAAAAAATATTACGTAACGTCAAACATTTTATGCGACTTTTTTCACCATACATATTACGTAATTAAAGATAATTAAGTCGCTGATTGAGCAAACAAAAATCCCTGATACGGTTCCCTCCGTAAATGAATTTCCTTTCATATGCTTTAAACCTCATGTTAATTGCTTGATTATTAAAAAAGTTATGCCGATTCAAAGTTAGTCCGACCCGCATCAAACGAAGTGTCATAAATCGGCTGTTCTCTCTCAGACCCCTACGTTTCACGCTAAATAATTGCATAATACACAAATATCGCACCAGAGAGGGTCACAAGTTGCGGTAACATACTCTAACAACATTTTATGACCCAGTGACATCCGACCAATTAAAAAGCTGCTGATTAATATCAGTTTATAGCCGAAATTTCTTCAATTCTTAACGTGATTTACTGTCCGTCTGGTATCTGTCGCACATGTCTAGTGACTATCGGCAAAAATTTGAGGCACTCAGTGGGGGGAAATGGAACGCAGGGTATTCAATTGTTTCCTTTTTGAAGTTTATTATTGTCATCATCAGCATTATTATTGTATTATACCAGTGTCACTCTGCCTGTGTATTCGTGTATGAAATTCCGTTAAAATATAAAATAAAATAACAAAAAACTGAGCTTCTGACAGTCTTTTAAAGTCCATGGTAGATGTACAAATAAGAACGGGATATTATATATTTTTTCCACCAAACTGATAATGCTTCACATATTTTAATAGAAATAAAGGGTATTAATCGATCATTATGATCTGGCCTTCTTGACTTCTATTATCATGAATATCATCTATGCACGGCATAGAGATCCAGTTTCTACCGGGATAGCCAATAAATTTCATATTTTGTCCCAGATTTATAAGTACTGTGTCCGATTTACTGGCGAACAATTTATTTTCACTGAGAATATATTTTAGTATCTTTTTTTTATTCATAGAGAAGTAATCATCCATAGACAATCTAAAATGGTTTAGAAATTTGTCAGGGACACTTTACCACAAGTCATATAGGCGTTCACATACAAAATGTTGTCTGTTTTTGTTGTTGTTTTACTTGACATTGTTAGAAAACGAGGTTGAATGTAAAGTAAGCCCTTGAATCCGTACAAAAATCTATCAACTCAATGTAATATCTATCAGATTAACGGGACAGACAAATTATTTTCACACATTATGGATATTTTAGCAACTACATTTTTAATCAACCCCGTGGTCGTGCGATTTGCCGCTATGCTTAATTATTTATGTTTCATACATTATGTTACGTACATTGGCCGACAATTTCTTAATTTATAAAAAAGGCTAATTGTTGAGATATTCATAAAAGATGTACGGTAAATGTACGATACATGTATTACGAGAAGTATGGACCAGTATGGACCTGTAATTCACGGATATATGGAACTACCGATTTCCCTCATTGATGCCTCAACAGGGGGCGGAGCGTTATCGATAATCGACAGGTTACGCGAATAGCAGATACAAATAGTATAGGTACCGTTTTAAAACGTTTAAAAACACATTTTTCGGACTAACTGCTTCCAAAATTAAATCACGAATGTGTTCAGAAAAGGTTGATAAATCTACTTAGCAAAAAATCTCATTTTAGGTATTTTCAGTGATAATTGACTCCGTTGTCACCTTAAGTGTTTCACTATGTAAAAGATTTTATGTTTTGAGGCTTTAAAGTTTGACCTCAGTGGAGCTCCTTTAATTAAATAGGATTTTATCTTTCTTAAAAAGATAAGTGAAATTTCAAGTTAAAGTTGGCTTTTTAGTGCAATTTAGCACCCAGTGAAAAAGATATGGCCCCATGGTTAAATATTGATAAGATAACAGGTTCTGTGCAGTATGTTTTATGAAAAATTATGTAGAAAAAAATAGAAATAAAAGAACCTTCATTTAAAGTGACATTATACTTACTTTTCATGTCAAAACAGAGCTGAATTGACTATATATTTCAAAAGACTTTTTAAAAAAAATAATTTTATAATGGTGATTGACCAATAGTTGATCTTGGAAAATGTTAAGGAAAAAATATAAAACTGTCTTGAATATACATTGTAAAAAGACTTCCTCACTTTTTGAAAAAAAAAATTGAATGCTACACAGGTGAATTCTGATGGGTTTTTTTACAGAAATTTCAATGGCCAACATTAATTATACATCAGTCATGCAAAGTAAATTACAAAATTTAAAGGAATTATTTCAAAATGTAAATATTTTTGTCTTTCACCAGTCACTTATTAAATACTATCAGATGGACATAATGTCACTTTCAAGAATTTACAAACGAAAATGACAAGATTTACTTTTCTGAATATCATAATAAATACATGTAACAATCAAAAATGTTGGTCAGTGTAGGCAATCGTTGATTCAATCGCAACTTTTGAACTCTGTCAAACAATCTTCTGATAAGGTGTTCCAATTGTTATCAATTTGCTTTTCTATATAAACGACAATCTAAATGGCTAATGAAAATTACAAACTCACATCATGAACAGATACAAGGCTTGCAACCACAATGCAACAATTGTTTGGGACATAATATTTAAAAAAAATAGATTTGGTGGTATCATCTATTGCCCTAAATTCAAGCAACACCATTTCTGTTTATATCACAAAATCTTGTCAGATGTTCGTTAAGAAAGAAAACAATTGGATATTTAAAACATCAAAGATAATTTAGTGTATTTGCCAAATTTCTTCAACATAGATTATAAGAAAAAATATCAAACTATTACTGTAAAAATGCTTAGGGTAACAAATCCTGGCCACCTTATAATGGATAATCATACATTTTTATTTGCAACTTATACAGGTTATAACAAGTAATGCTGGCAGAAGTTCCGCAGATTAAATGTAACAGTTATGCTTTTTTAGCAATCATGTAAACATTTTTTTTTAAAAATGTACATATGTGTGCCTAAATCTGATGTTAAAGTCGAGTTAGCAGTTGACTTTACACACATCAACATGTATTATCCACAGATAAATCATAACATAAAATATTGTCCAACACAATTTACTAAAGAAATACCGGTCATTTATTGACTAAACTTTACATCTGCAAGGATTTTCACCACATGGCATGAATCATTAAAGAGTTCAATTTTGATTTAATTTTAAAAACATTTAAAAAATTAAAATAAACAAGGCTATATCATCATTATGAACGCAAGATGAATAAAGACAGTTTCCAGATACTATTATGATTAAAGGTGCTAAAGGATTAAACGTCTTTTATGCCGGCTCGCCACGGCGAGCCGGTATTACGTTAGGATTTTACTTAGAAACAACCTAAAACTCCGAATCCATCCAAACATTTAATCTAAGCTTGGCTTCCAGCTTTCTACAAAATTTATCTGTCTGGGCTGGAATCCAAAATAATTAAGCCAATCAAATTTGATCTTACATAGCGTCAAAAAACCTTCAATTTTCACGCCATTTTTAAAAAGGAACAAGTATTGCTTTGAGCGCAAAGATGATAATATATTTGTTTTCATGAATTCTTTTCAATAAATCATATTTACACTGACTTTTGATTTAGCGATTTCACCTGTTTTCTCTGTAGTAAGTTAAATAATTAACAATTAATTGGTTAATTAACATAAGTGTACATCTGGTTCTGTGCATATTTTCTTTTTCTTTTTTTCCGGTAATTTTATCCTGTCCGGTATTTTGTGTATGTATTTACTGGGATATACTATTCTCCGGTCCGGTCGCTTCCGGTCTCTCCCGGTCTATTTTGACCGGGATTTACGAGACTTGAGAACTTGTACAAATCAAATAATCATGCCACATGAATCTAAATTCGCCCACACCCAAGAGAGTTCTTCAGTAATATATTCCTGTATAGGACTTGTGTCTGTCACTCATTCCAATACTAAATAACATATTACAACTTAACTTTGTATAAAGAGACATCTTTATGAATTCTACCTATCTAACATTTTTGGTCAAGGTCAACAGGCCATATAGTAAATGTGCATAGACATAGGGACTTCATTCTATCTGTTTACATGCATCTTCATATATACTCATATTCCCCTTTGTTAAACTGAGAGAACTGGCTTCCGTAACTTTATATGTCACTTTTATTTTGATGTTCGCTGAAGTCTCTTCAGGTACAGAACTGTCATTTTTACATTTTAACACACCCCTGGAATAAAATTACGAAGCGAGTCGCTACTAGCTTTTTTAAAAGCTAACCTTGTTACCCTTTCGTGTAAGATTCCAATTATAACGACGTTTTCATTACCGTCATGAATTTTTCATTATTTTACGCCATGACAGTAAACACGGAAACTGTTGCTATGGTGTGTGCGCATGCCCGAAGCTCAATCGCGATTGTCGTTAAAACAATTTTCGCTTTAATATTCCACTTTTGTGTAATCCAACATCAAACTTTAAAAACCAAGTATCATATTTTTTTCAATAATATGTCAATATTTATAAAACTTGTCATTTGAATTTTTAATCATTGTCGTAACTAACAATATCAAGACCTGTTTCCGGCAAACGTGAAATTGCCGCAAGTTTCAACGCGACGGTAAATAAATAAGAATTTTGTCAAAATGAAGATCGAAGAAGTTAAAAGTACCACGAAGACTCAAAGAATAGCAACACATAGTCACATTAAAGGCTTAGGATTAGATGAAAATGGTTATGCTATTCAAAGTGCAGCCGGTCTTGTCGGTCAAGAATTGGCAAGAGAGGTTTGTAAATAAAAAATAATGAAAATTCCAGAATGTTCTATTGTGATTTCTTTGCTTACATTTTACTCCAAAAGTAATTATATGAAAAAGGCAAAGCCTCAAAGCGAGCTCGATTTTCTTTTACCATATGATAGTTTAAAACAATCGTTTATTTTTATTTAACATTTTCCGTTTTAAAATTGTCATTCGGTATTTTATAAACTGCTTCCGTTTATTCTGGTTCCTCCTTTCTATTATGGTTCCTATGTAAGTGCGCGGGACACCAGTCTACGCTTCGTTTTCAATCAGAGTAAATTGGCTTTTATCGTTATCATGTAATTCGAAAAGTTGCGATGTGTCCAATTCGGTACTTCGGACGAAAGTTTTCAAAACCATCACTTAGCAGGTACTCGCGTTACTGTAAAGCTTGCTTTGCAAGCAGGCCCTTCGGCCAGCTCGTCGAGCTTTCTATCAAAAAGTCAAACTGCAAAGTGAGGAACGTAAGTCCATTGTTGGTATTGTCAATCCTTTTATAATCAATTGTGACTTGTAATGAATATATGAATAAGGCAAAGGAGGCTCAAAGCAAGCTCTTTTAAGTATAAAATAAGGCAAAGCCTATGAATGGGGAAGTCGGTTAAAATAATAAATTAAATAATTCCTTTTTATTTTACATTTTTTTACCATTTGAGACAACAAAAAGGGGGGGGGTGAAAAAGGTGTTAAAAGGCGTGTACAGTACAGATATCGAGGAATATGCAAATTTCTGCGAGTATCGAGTAATCTCAAAAAGCGTGACTCCGAGTGGATTATAAATTTCTCGGGTGAAAAAGAGTGACTCCGAGACAAAAACGAGTGACAATTTTGTCCGCGGGACTCCGTGAATCTCCGAGTCAAAAAGAGTGACTCCGAGAAAATAAGACTGATTTGGTACACGTATGCTTTATTTATTTATTAATTAATATAATGCTCTACCTCTAAAATAAAATCCTTCATCGCATGTATTATTCATTCAAAATAACAATGTTGTCGAAAATTCTTCGTTGATGTAAAGTATCACAAGTGAAAACGAAAGTAGACACACTTGATTCATTAATTAATTAAAGGAAAGAATAACCGATGATTTCCCGCAATTCCCGTAACGCGCAGTGTCAAAAACCTATTTAATTTAGTATTCTAAAATAAGAAAATATAAATGAGCTTCTTTTTTGCATTGTTTATACAAATTTATAATTATTATGTAAGCAAAAAAAGAAGAAGAAAAAAGAAGGAAATACATGGCAAAACAACCTTGGCTTAGGTCGATTCATTCCATTGACATATTATCGTAAGGGAAATTATACTTTGTACCAGAACTGAATAAAAAAAACAACATTTTCTTTAAGACAGTTTACAAAGTATTCTTCAGTGAAATGCATCTGCCTTGGAAAGTAAACTTTTGAAAAAGGTAATTTTATACTTTTAAGTCAGGCTTTTAGATAAATTTGTACCAGTTACATAAATGATACCAAACTGATTTCCATGTGAAGTACATGTACGTCTCCTTTTAATTGTTGGTTGATAAAAAATCCGTGAAATACGAGATATAATACATCATTCCATACAATGCACTTGCCAAAACAGCAACACCCTATGTTGGCATGTACAGTCCTGCTTTTAACATTAAAGTTTAAATTTAGTTTACTATTGCTTTCAGAACAATATAGAACAGAGTTAAGTTAAGTTAATCTGCTAGGCAATTCTACCGATGTTGGCAGCACAAGAAAGGACAACATTAAGGAATTCATTTATGAAATTCTACCGATGTTTGCAGGGGGAAAACAACAGGCGCTGCGTCGTCTCAAAAATAAAACCATGAATTATAAAACAAGAACATTGATCAAGATTGGCAGTGATTTTTTAAAGGCATGGCGGTCTTTTTCAATCCACATACGTACATGTACAATATGCTATTATAAAAATATTGTTTTATCGTCTATGAACAGTACATGTACGTGAAATCGGGAGTAGTTTAATCTTTGTCAAAATTGTTTTTTATTTTTTATAAAATGACATGATATAGATGATGATGTACATAACTATAAAGGAAAAAGAAAACAAGCAAATAAAATGATCATTTTATTCTTTGCTGTTTTTATTTTTTATCTGATTACAGGTGAATGAATTACGTGAGCAGCGGACTAGGTAAGTTGAACGACCTGTGTCAACTTGTCAACTCTTCTCTAACTCTTGAATTCCTCCATAATATAACCATAACTTGCCTGAAATAAAAAAATAACAACAAAAAACTTTAATTTATTAATGATCATCACAAGACAATTTACTTTTGATTCCAATATCAACATACATCTACACATGACTTTGATAACAGAATGAGATCGACAGATTTTCGGAGATATTCTTAGAATAATATTACAACAATATACATGTATTACTAATTTTTATGCAGCTTTATTTAGAAACGATTAAGTTAATGTTAATTCTCAAAAATTATATATAAATCAAGTGTCTTCTAATTAAAACGGCGGATGTGACAGGTTGACACGTAACTAAAATACATGTAAACAATGGATTATGAAGAAACGTACATGCACATCATGACAATTTTTAAAACTGTACAAACCAATATAAAAGTTGGGAAAGTCAATTTTTTTGCACATGTTATCAATGATTAAAATATTATGAAGATCGAAACTCAATATCCACATTGAAAAAAGAAAACACAACACAATATTTGGCACCTGAAATAAATTAGAACGGCATGTTATCGGTATTTGATGCATTTAGAAACATTTAAGATTAAGAAGTTTATATAATTAATTCATTTCTTAAAGAAGTATAAAAAAAAGTTGGGCCGTTATTATATGGATTTTTTTAAATCGTTTTTTGTTTTTGATAGAATTTCGGGTTCCTGTGGTTATTGCTACTGACCTAATTAATCTGGATAAAAATAAGCTTGAGAACTGATGACGCTTACGGTAGTGATTTTTTCTAATCAAATGTACCTTTCAACTGTTTCAGGGTAAATTGAAAACAACAACCGTAAAAATCATCTTTATTTTCGAATGGTAATCTAAAGAATTAAATTAAATATAAAATGAGATTGCACTTGCATTTATTTACACCAGCTAGACACCGACACAGAGTTACGCGGTAATTCTCTCTCGGAGTCACGCGCTTTTATTTTCGTCTCGGAGTCACTCTCATCACACGTTTCTCACGCGGAGTCACTCGTTTTTATGGACAAATACTCTCGCCGAGTTGCGAGTGTTTTCCTTGATCCTCGGAGGATTTTGCATATTCCTCGTTATCTGTACTGTATATCGCATAATGGGTTAAATAACTTTTTTCAAAACTGTTTTGTCAAAAATTTATTTCAAAAGATCCAATTATAATGTATATTTTTTTAATTATTTCCATTGTTCGCCATTTTGGGTGATTTCAGAGGTTACTATGGTATCATGGTAATCCTTGAAAATTCAAGTATAGAAAGATAGATGTGTCAAATCTTCAAATTAAGTTGAGAAAAAATGCTTTAAAATGTGACGATGTGTTTATGTATGGGACTATAACATATTTGAATTGACTGTGTAAAGTCAATTATGGGAAATAGTAGACAAATATGAAGATTTTATAAAATGGTTTTCTTCCCACGAATATTTTCATTATTCACAAAATTAAATTTATTTACAGATCTATGCTATGCAATTTAGTGTGACAGTTTTAAAAATAGTAGCATCGGCATGTCTGCTTTTACTAGCAGTCGCATAAAATGTAAATACCTTGATATCATAGAATTTGAATTAGAACCCGTGAAATCATAGGAACTGAGTATACTATAGACTTTTCTATTAAAACTGCACACTTTCGCCATTACAATTCACTCAACACTACTACAAACTAATTTTTACCTTCAACATATAGCCATTTTATGTTTAATAATATGATATCTAGATTGAATCCATCCACTGGAGAACAAAAATTCACTTAAAATCAAATTTCGGCACTAATAATTCCATTTCCGTAAAAGGATATCGTGTAACCGGAAGTTAATATTGACATGGCTTCTATTTCTATTTTTTGGGGGTATTTTATAAGTTGAGTATAAAATTAATGTTAATAATATTATGTTGACTGTAATTTATCAAAAAAGGTACAGTATACGTGAATCAGTCAAATTTTATGTACTTTACCATATATTCATCAAACAATAGTGAACACGCTATGAGTCCCTTTTCGGGAAAAGTATCTTCACAAAGCTTCATATTTGGATTATGGTAATCAGCAGGGGATTCTGAACGTTATTTTGAATGGGAACCATATGAGACAGGAAACCAGAAATCTGATTCCCGGTGTGCTTCTACAAATAATAGTGCAGGTGACCTGTTGGTACTGATTCCTTGCATGCTCCAAATATATGGATGCCATAATCATGCCATTTGTAAATTTTTGTAAACAATATTTGTTTCTAAATTGCATTCCACTAATCATTTTTTAAACAATTATAGAGGCATTTCAATGCATTTTCACCTTATCACCAGGGGTAGAAATAATGCCCAATTCCCACTTTTTTACCTAAAAGATTGTACTCCACCTATTTTTGAGAATAGACTGCATATGTGCAAACTTTTTGTTCCCATTTTGTTTTTTATAAATCCAGTTAAGTGTATTATGAATTAAGGTAAATCAGATAAATTCATTTAGCAGATATATACACATATTACAAAATATGAATTAATTTTTCCCTCAGCATAAAGGTTTGGGGTGGGGGTTTTGGCGGAGGTAAGTCCCAGAAAAAGGAAGGGAAATTACTTACGTTCAGTAATGAAATTGTAAATTTGAGTTACCCGTATTATTACTATTAAAGTGTAGTCTTACTCTCTTAGGAGAGAAACATCAGCCACCTTTCAAACAATCATACAAGAGCAGACATATTTCAAGTTACATTATATTAATGCTCTAAAATTTTTAGCTCGACTTTTTTTGAAAAAAAAAGTAGAGGTATTGCTATAGTCGCGGCGGCGTTGCCGTTGCTGTCCGCAAACTTGTACCTGGATCATAACTTTTTTTATTTCTTGGTGTATTGTCTTCATACTTGGCCACAACAACCCTTGGGACAAGACCTTTCAGTAGACCACACTAACCTTGACCTTTATCCATAAATGACCTTGACCTTCAAGGTTAAAAGTCCAATTTTTGCTTGTTTCATGCTATTTTTTGGCCTGAAAACTTAAAACTTGAACAAAATAATCTTAAAGGGAAAACCCCTTAAAAAAACCCAGACAGACATTGCCCTTTTCACTCTTTTGATGACCTTGATTTTGAAGTTCAAATTATTGAAATTTTAAATTTTTTTGGGCTGTAACGGCTGTAACTTTGCTTTTATTGAAGGGATCAATTTTCATTTATAAAAGAACAAACTTAAGGACAAAAACCTTGTTGTTTTTTTAAAACATTTGGGCTTTTTGAAACCACCACGGATTTTACTGCCCCCACGTGACCCCAAACCAGGGGAACTTCCCCCAAAACGGGGACACCACCATGTGACCCCACCAAATTTCCCCAAAAAAAACCACTTTGACTTCACCATTTGACTCCCCCCAAGTGCCTCCCCATGGACCCCAGGGAGCCCCAACGTACTCCACGCATTGCCCCCGCCCGGCGGTGGCTCTTGTTGTGTACAATGACAATGTAGTATGTAATTAAACTGGTATTGTGTATATTTTAGGCTGCAGGTATTGTGGTTGAGATGATAAGATCAAAGAAAATGGCAGGACGTGCTGTATTGTTAGCAGGACCTCCAGGAACAGGCAAGGGTTTAAAAACATCTTTCCCCTTGAAAATTTTGGGAAACGATGACAATGTATTATTTTTTAAATGCACATATGGCAGACAAAAGGGAAGTTTTCCCAAGTCCGTTGAACATTTGATTTCCAAAAATTTTTTTAAAATTTTTTAAAATGTTAAATAAAAAATTTAAAAATGATTCCCCCAAAATTTTTAAAAATTAATTTTAATCTTTTGTTATTATTTTACTTTCCTTTTTTGTTTTTTTTATTTAAAAAATTGTTTGTAGGAAACTTTAACCTTAATTTTTAAACTTTAAAATTAAAAAAATTTTATTGGATATTATGGGATAAATTCATTGCAAGGCATTTTTCTTTTAAAAATACTGGGAAATACCCTTTAAAATCAATTTTTTGGGGAAATTTTTTTCAGATTTGCCATGCATTGGTTTTAGCTCAAAAAATTTGGGCCAGAAAATTTTCCATTTGCCCAAGGGGTAGGTAGTGAATTTACTCACATGAGATCAAAAAGACAGAAGTTCTGATGGAGAATTTTAGGAGAGCTATAGGTTTAAGGATCAAAGAAACAAAAGAAGTTTATGAGGGGGAAGTTACAGAATTAACACCTGTTGAGACAGAAAATCCAATGGGAGGTTTGTATATTGATACTCTATAAATTATTTTTATAAGAAATACTAGAATACAAAAGAGTGTGTTGTAACCACTTTTTTATGCTCCCCAAATGGTGAGCATATAGTTGCTGCTTTCTCTGCCCATCGACCGCTATTCTTGTCTGGGACATAACTATAAAATAAAAAAAGGGAATTATTGCCCCTTTTTTTCAAATTTTTTCACTTTTTAACGCCCGGCAAACTCTTAAACTAAATTTAAAAAAAACAAAATTTAAAATTTGTTTTGGGAGAAAAAGATTTTCATTGGGTAGAAGGGAGGGGCAAAAAAACCCTAACACCCGTCTTGGCCCAATTTTGGAGATTTTTGCCCTTTGTTCTTTTTTTTCCCCCTTTAAAAAAATTTTGCTATATTATAAACACTGAGTTCTTGCCATGATTCTACAACACTTTCTTTTGCAAATCTTTTAAAGTGTATGTCAAAAAGTCAATTTGTCAAAAAACATATCTGAACTACATGTAGGTTAGAAATGGAAATGTTCGCAATTTAATTACAGTCATTGGTGTGAATGTTAACCTGGCTGTTTGTTGTCTTGCCAGATAAAATGGATAGAAGTGATGGCATACTGTAAATGATTTTTGTTTGGTCTGAGTGACTGTCAAATTTATTTATAACTTTCTTTCATAGTTTTGCTTTAAATAAATCTTCATTTTTGCTGGAGTTCTATATTTATACCCCCAAAAACGAAGTTTGGGGGGGTATATAGGAGTCACCCGGTGGTCGGTCGGTCGGTTGGTCGGTCGGTCGGTCGGTCGGTCCAGACGTCCGTTGCATTTTCCTTGTCCGGAGCATAGCTTGAAAACTAATGGTTGGAATTCAATATAACTACATACAATGGTCAAGCACATTGAGAGGAAGTGCAGTGCACAAGAACCATAACTCTATTCTTGACTAATTACAGAGTTATTGCCCCTTTGTTACTTTTCCTTGTCCGGGGCATAACTTGAAAACTACTGGTTGGAATTCAAAACAACTTCATACAATTGTCAAACACAATAAGGAGAAGTGAAGTGCACAAGAACCATAACTCTATCTAAAAGTAATTACAGAGTTATTGCCTTTTGTTGCTTTTTCCATTGCTTTTTTTTTGTCCATTGCATTTCCTTGTCCGGAGCATAAACTTGAAGACTAATGGTTGGAATTCAATATAACTACATACAATGGTCAAGCACATTGAGAGGAAGTGCAGTGCGTAAGAAACATAACTCTATCTTGACTAATTACAGAGTTATTGCCCTTTGTTACTTTTCCTTGTCCGTGGCATAACTTGAAAACTACTGGTTGGAATTCAAAACAACTTCATACAATTGTCAAACACAATAAGGGGAAGTGCAGTGCACAAGAACCATAACTCTATCTAAAGTAATTACAGAGTTATTGCCCTTTGTTGCTTTTCCATTGCCTTCTTTTTATACCCCCAAAAACGAAGTTTGGGGGGGTATATAGGAGTCACCCGGTGGTCGGTCGGTCGGTTGGTCGGTCGGTCGGTCGGTCCAGACGTCCGTTGCATTTTCCTTGTCCGGAGCATAACTTGAAGACTAATGCTTGGAATTCAATATAACTACACACAATGGTCAAGCACATTGAGAGGAAGTGCAGTGCACAAGAACCATAACTCTATCTTGACTAATTACAGAGTTATTGCCCTTTGTTACTTTCCTTGTCCGGGGCATAACTTGAAAACTACTGGTTGGAATTCAAAATAACTTCATACAATGTCAAACACAATAAGGGGAAGTGCAGTGCACAAGAAACCATAACTCTATGTAAAGTAATTACAGAGTTATTGCCCTTTGTTACTTTTCCATTGCTTTTTTTTGTCCGGACCATAACTTGAAGACTAATAGTTGGAATTCAATATAACTACATACAATGGTCAAGCACATTGAGAGGAAGTGCAGTGCACAAGAACCATAACTCCATCTTGATTAATTACAGAGTTATTGCCCTTTGTTACTTTTCCTTGTCCGGGGCATAACTTGAAAACTACTGGTTGGAATTCAAAAATAACTTCATACAATTGTCAAACACAATAAGGGGAAGTGCAGTGCACAAGAACCATAACTCCATATTGACTAATTACAGAGTTATTGCCCTTTGTTACTTTTCCATTGCTTTTTTGTCGGAGCATAACTTGAAGACTAATGGATGGAATTCAATATTACTTCATACAATGTTCAAGCACATTGAGAGGAAGTGCAGTGCACAAGAACCATAACTCCATCTTGACTAATTACAGAGTTACTGCCTTTTGTTAATTTTCCTTGTCCAGAGCATGACTTGAAAAACTACTGGTTGGAATTCAAAACAACTTCATACAATGGTCAAGCACAATAAGGGGAAGTGCAGTGCACAAGAACCATAACTCCATCTTGACTAATTACAGAGTTATTGCCCTTTGTTACTTTTCCATTGCTTTTTTGTCCGGAGCATAACTTGAAGACTAATGGTTGGAATTCATTATAACTCATACAATGGTCAAGCACATTGAGAGGAAGTGCAAGTGCACAAGAACCATAACTCCATCTTGACTAATTACAGAGTTATTGCCCTTTGTTACTTTTCCTTGTCCAGAGCATAACTTGAAAACTACTGTTTGGAATTCAGTACAACTTCATACAGTTGTCAAGGACATTAAAAGGAAGTACAGTGCACAAGAGCCATAACTCCATTTTGACAAAATACAGAGTTACTGCCCTTCGATACTTTTGTCCTTGTCCTGAGCATAACTTAATACGTACTGGTTGGAATTCAAAAACAACTTCATACAATGTTCAAGCACAATAAGAGGAAGTGCAGTGCACAAGAACTATAACTCTATCTTCAGTTTTTATAGAGTTTTTGCCTTTGTTCCTTTTCTTTGTCTTTCTGGACTTATTACAGAGTAATTCAATTAAACTTCATCAATGCCCAACCACATTGAAAGGATATGCAACATAGAAGAACCACAACTATCTTTAATTGCTAACAACCATAACTCTATATTTCAATTCTTTTACAAGGTATTCTGTTACTAGTAACATCCTCATTTCCGAAGCAGTCTTGTGGGGGTATTAATCACATTTAGTGATAGTTCTAGTTTCACTATATATAGTTTAATGTATTAATTTTTTTTTGTGATCAGGCTATGGGAAAACAGTCAGTCATGTAATCATTGGTTTAAAGACAGCAAAAGGAACAAAACAGTTAAAACTGGATCCATCAATATATGAAAGTTTACAGAAAGAGAAAGTCGAGACTGGGGATGTAATATACATTGAGGCAAACAGTGGAGCAGTCAAGGTTTGTATATTTCTTTATTTGAGCCGTGCCATGACAAAACCAACATAATGGGTTTGCGACCAGCATGGATCCAGACCAGCCTGCCCATCCGGGCAGTCTGATCAGGATCCATGCCGTTTGCTAACCAACCCTATTACAAGTAGAGAAGATGAGAGGGTATATTGTTTTGCTAATGTTGGTCGGTCACAGATGGCTATGTTAGTGTTTGGACACCCCACCCTGTCCCTGGATCCCTGTTACAACCCTGAAAAAAAAATAATTCAACACTCTAAGGCTTACATTAAGATACCAAATAAAATACTACTGATAAAATTGTATAATAAAAAAAAATTTCCACTAGTATCAAAATTATAGTTATAGAAAGGTGGAAAGTCTACTATATGTTCATTTGTAGAACACAAGAAATCGTCGTTTCGGCGACTGAGGTGCATTCGGGCGGCATATTGCTGCATCGTTCATTTATATCAATAAAAAGAACTAGAATTCCATTACTTACCTAATTCAAGTCCAATGAATATCAATATTCTATTGATTTTTAGCTCACCTGTCACAAAGTGACAGGGTGAGCTTTTGTGATCGCTTTTCGTCCGTTGTCCGTCCGTAAACTTTTACTTTAAATGACATCTCCTCATAAACCACTAAGCCAATTTCATCCAAACTTCACAGGAATGTTCCTTTGGTGGTCACCTTTAAAAATTGTTCAAAGAATTTAATTCCATGCAGAACTCTGGTTGCCATGGCAACCAAAAGAAAAAACTTGAAATATCTTCTTTTAAAAAACCCAAAGAGCTAGAGCTTAGATATTTGGCATGAAACATCTTCTAGTGAGTGTCTACCAAGTTTGTTCAAATAAAAGCCCTGGGGTCAAAATTGGCCCTGCCCCAGGGGGTCATTGATTTTCGCTATATGCATATAGTAAAACCTTAAATAATCTTCTTTTAAAGAACCCAAAGAGCTAGAGCTAAGATATTTAGCATGAAACATCTTCTAATGGGTGTCTACCAAGTTTTTCAAATAAAAGCCCTGGGGTCAAAATTGGCCCCGCCCCAGGGGTCATTGATTTTCCCTATATGCATATAGTAAAAACTTAAAAAATCTTCTTTTAAAGAACCCAAAGAGCTAGAGCTAAGATATTTAGCATGAAACATGTTCTAATGGGTGTCTACAAAGTTTGTTCAAATAAAAGCCCTGGGGTCAAAATTAGCCCCGCCCCGGGGGTCATTGATTTTCCTTATATGTGTATAGCAAAAACTTAAAAAATCTTCTTTGAAAAAACCCATATAGCTAGAGTTTAGATATTAAGCATGAAACATCTTCTAATGGGTGTCTACAAAGTTTGTTCAAATAAAAGCCCTGGGGTCAAAATTGGCCCCGCCCCAGGGGGTCATTGATTTTCCCTATATGCATATAGAAAAAACTTAAAAAATCTTCTTTTAAAGAACCCAAAGAGCTAGAGCTAAGATATTTAGCATGAAACATGTTCTAATGGGTGTCTACAAAGTTTGGTCAAATAAAAGCTCTTGGGTCAAAATTGGCCCCGCCCGGGGGTCATTGATTTTCCTTGTATGTGTTATAGTTAAAACTTAAAAAATCTTCTTTGAAAAAACCCAAATAGCTAGAGTTTAGATATTAAGCATGAAACATCTTCTAGTGAGTGTCTACCAAGTTTGTTCAAATAAAAGCCCTGGGGTCAAAATTGGCCCCGCCCCAGGGGGTCATTGATTTTCCCTATATGCATATAGAAAAAACTTAAAAAATCTTCTTTTAAAGAACCCAAAGAGCTAGAGCTAAGATATTTAGCATGAAGTATGTTCTAATGGGTGTCTACAAAGTTTTTTCACATAAAAGCCCTGGGGTCAAAATTGGCCCCGCCCCGGGGGTCATTGATTTTCCTTATATGTGTATGGCAAAAACTTAAAAATCTTCTTTGAAAAAACCCAAATAGCTAGAGTTTAGATATTAAGAATGAAACATCTTCTAGTAAGTGTCTACAAAGTTTGTTCAAATAAAAGCCCTGGGGTTAAAACTGGCCCCGCCCCAGAGGTGTCATTGTTTTTAACTATATGTGTATAGTAAAAACTTAAAAAATCTTCTTTTAAAATACCCAATGAGCTAGAGGTTAGATTTTAAGCAGGAAACATCTTTTTGTTGGTGTCTACCAAGTTTGTTCAAATAAAAGCCCTTGGGTTTAAATTGGCCCTGCCAAAGGGGGGGGGGGGCTGAGGTCATTGTTTTTCATTATATGTGTGTAGTAAAAACTTAACATCATGAAACATCTTCTAATGGGTGTCTTCCAAGTTTGCTCAAATAAAAGCCCTGGGGTTTAAACTGGCCCCGCTCCGGGCCTATATACAGGTGAGCGACCTCAGGGCCATCATGGCCCTCTTGTTTTCTGTTTCATGGTATTTTTTTACTTGTCGTAGCCATTTTGTGGTCTGATACCTGCGATGTTATGCGCAATCTGATTGTACATCCAATTCGTCTAGTATAATTGTAAACCCATAGAAAAATAAATATTTCTTATGTTGTTATACTTTTCATTTTTACAAAGTGAGAGATCAAATATAGGACTTGAGATGAAGCATTTGTCAGTTTAATATTGCAATTTTATATTTTTACAGAGACAAGGTAGATCTGATAGTTTTGCTACAGAGTTTGATCTGGAAGCCGAGGAGTATGTTCCTCTACCTAAAGGAGATGTACATAAAAAGAAAGAAATTATACAAGATGTAACATTACATGATCTCGATATAGCTAATGCTAGACCACAGGTGTGTAACACTTTTTTCATGCTTTTTGTGTCGCCTTGAAAAAGGCGACATTTAGGGGTTACTTTTGTCGGCGGTGTCGACGTTGGTGTCCGTGTTGGCGTCCCCTTAAGCTTGTCCGCAGCATAAGTCAGTCATTATAAGTCGGATTGACTTCAAACTTGATTTGCATGCTTTTTTATAATGACCCGAAGTGCAGTGCACAAGAACCGGTACTCTGCACTTCTTATTTTTTGAGTTATTGACCTTTGTTAATTTTCATACTTTATTTTTGTCCGGGCCATTTCTCCTAAAGTATAAAAGCTATGGACTTGAAACTTCATAGGATGATAGATCTCATTAAGAAGAAGTGCAGTGCACAAGAACCGGTACTCTGCATTTCTTATTTTTTGAGTTATTGCCCTTTGTTAATTTTCAAACTTTATTTTTGTCCGGGTCATTTCTCATAAATTATTAAAGCTATAGACTTGAAACCTCATAGGATGATAAATCTTATTGATAAGAAGTGCAGTTATTGAGTTATTGCCCTTTGTTAATTTTCATATTTCATTTTTGTCCTGGCCATTTCTTCTAAACTATATTGTTCACAAGGCGACACATCTGACTCGCAGAGTTCTAGTTTCTTTATATTTGAAGAAGGAAGGTTATTAAAAGAAATGTGAGGGTTTATTAGTACTGACTAGGAATTAATGAAAAGGAACATTTCCAGAAGTAGTCATGTAGCTAATAACATGTTGCAGTGGATTTTACCTGGTTACCAAGACATAAAGACACCCCTGATGTGTGCTTTGACTTCAAATTACAACACCATCGAGGGGCGTCCGTGGCCGAGTGGTTAAGGTCGTTGACTTCAAACCACTTACCCCTCACTGCTGTGGGTTCGAATCCCGAAAGGGACTTTGGATTCTTTCATGTGAGGAAGCTATCCAGCTAGCTTACGGAACGTCGGTGGTTCTACTCAGGTACCCGTTCGTTCCTGAAATAATGCACGGAAGGGCACCTAAGGTCTTCCTCCACCAGTAAAGCTGGAACGTCGCGATATGACCTATACTGTGTCGATGTGACGTAAAACCCAAAACAAACAAACAAATAACACCATCGCTATACAATTTATGAAACTATATATTTGCAACAACTCAATGTTGGTTTCGATAACTTTTTATTATTCAGTTTTGTAAATCTTGTTAGTAGAGTTATGTTTGTAAGAACTTAGCTTGATTATTGATTTCAAGACTTAGATTAATTTTAAATACTTATTATCCCCCGCCGAAAAGGCGGCGGGGGATATAGAAATAGTCTCCATCCGACCTTCCGTCCGACATTTTTGTCCGGAGCATATCTCTAAAAGTATTTGAGTTATCAACTTGAAACTTCATAGGTAGATAGACCTCATTGAGAAAGAGTGCAGTGCACAAGAATGATAACTCTACCCTGCATAATTTTTGAGTTATTGCCCTTTGTTATTTTTCAAAATTGATTTTTGTCCAGAGCATAACTCCAAAAGCCTATGAGATATCAACATGAAACTTCATAGGTGCATAGATCTCACTCAGGAGGTGTGCAGTGCACAAGAATGATAACTCTACCTTTCATAATTTTTGAGTTATTGCCCTTTGTTATTTTTCTTACTTAATTTTTCACCTGAGTGAAGCATAACTCAAAAAGTGTTTGAGATATCAACATGAAATGTCATAGGTGGATAGATCTTATTGAGGAGGAATGTGGTACGCAAGAATGATAACTCTTCCCTATACAATTTTTGAGTTATTGCCCTTTGTTCTTTTTCATGCTATTTTGTCCAGAACTTATCTCAAACAGTATTTGAGGTATCAACTTGAAACTTCATAGGTGGATGGATCTCATTGAGGAGGAGTGCAGCACACAAGAATGATAACTCTACCCTGTATTATTTTTGAGTTATTGCCCTTTGTTACTTTTCAAAATTAATTTTTGTCCAGAGCATAACTCTAAAAGCCTTTGAGATATCAAAATGAAACTTCATAGGTGCATAGATCTCACTCAGGAGGTGTGCAGTGCACAAGAATGATAACTCTTCCTTTCATAATTTTTGAGTTATTGCCCTTTGTTCTTTTTCATGCTATTTTGTCCAGAACTAATCTCAAAAAGTATTTGAGGTATCAACTTGAAACTTCATAGGTGGATGGATCTCATTGAGGAGGAGTGCAGCACACAAGAATGATAACTCTACCCTGTATAATTTTTGAGTTATTGCCCTTGTTACTTTTCAAAATTAATTTTTGTCCAGAGCATAACTCTAAAAGCCTTTGAGATATCAAAATGAAACTTCATAGGTGCATAGATCTCACTCAGGAGGTGTGCAGTGCACAAGAATGATAACTCTTCCTTTCATAATTTTTGAGTTATTGCCCTTTGTTATTTTTCATACCTAATTTTTCCCCCAAGTGGTGCATAACTCAAAAGTGTTTGAGATGTCTACATGAAATGTCATAGGTGGATAGATTTTATTGAGGAGGAATGCTGTGCACAAGAATGATAACTCTTCCCTGTACAATTTTTGAGTTATTGCCCTTTGTTCTTTTTCATACTATTTTGTCCAGAGTTTATCTCAAAAAGTATTTGAGGTATCAACTTGAAACTTCATAGGTGGATGGATCTCATTGAGGAGGAGTGCAGTGCACAAGAATGATAACTCTATTCTGCATAATTTTTGAGTTATTGCCCTTTTTTTATTTTTCAAAATTAATTTATGTCTAGAGCCTAACTCAAAAGGCCTTTGAGATATCATTATGAAACTTCATAGGTGCATAGATCTAATTCAGGAGGTGTGCAGTGCACAAGAATGATAACTCTACCTTTTATAATTTTTGAGTTATTGCCCTTTGTTATTTTTCATACTTAATTTTTCAATTCAATTTTTTTCTCAAAAAGTATTTGAGGTATCAACTTGAAACTTCATAGGTGGATAGATTTTACTGAGGAGGGATGCAGCACACAAGAATGATAACCTACCCTGCATTATTTTTCAGTAATTGCCCTTTGTTATATTCAGCCATCAGTATTCACATAGGTTTCAAATCTGTAATCACTATAGCCATCAGCTTTCATTACCAAAAGACCTCTTAAAATGGAATTATTCTGCTCTACTACATACTGTAACCCAACGAATATTCGCGACCAATTAATATTCGCTTTATTCGCGGATGGCCACGAAGCGCGAATATTTGTTTGCGCGAATAAGTCCGCACGATTTCGCGAATAAATTGGAGAGAAATTTTTAATTTAGACGTTCATGCAAGCTACTTGACCGGATATATTCGAATTTTACGGGCACCTGTTAGGAAGTAATGAATTGTTATGAATATTGCCATATAGCAATAAAACACAAACTAAGTAAACTACTACTTTTTTATAAATATCAAAAAACTATGTCAATATAGCAACCAAAATAAACATCCACATTTTAATACAGTTTATGAAATACTAGTGGGACTATTGTCAATTATGTTCCGTATAGGGTACTATACGGAGCATGTGTCAGTTTTAAGTTTCTTCTTGTTTGGACCCTATAAAATAAATATTTGAATAAATCGTTTGACAAAAGTGGGAAAACTATCGAGCATCACAAAAGGCTATTGTTTTGTGGATCCTTTAAAATAATTGTTTGAGTGAATTGTTAAGACAAAGGTGGTATAAACCTATCGAGCATCACAAAAGGGTATTGGGTGTACATAATTACAAACAGTGAAAAACAAGATGGTTTCATTTACCCGTCAAACTTAACAGCCTGTATAGCTCAGTTGGTTAGATTGCGGACTCATATAACATAATTTTCTCGGCGTGGGTTCTATCCCTGATTGGAAAAGGTATTTTTTTTATGAAACGCTTAAATTGAATTTCTTAAAGACTTTTCTAGATAAACTGTTGATACAAAATATAATATGTTTTGAAAATAAGATGTTGGAAGAAGGGTTTATTTTTTATCAACCACCCTTTTAACGACATGTTTAGAAATGAAGACGAACGATGCGTACATGTACATATATAGAGAAAATGTTTTGCTGAATTGTGATCACATTTCACTTACCAATACAATATAAGGCTAGCGTATTGTTAATCCCATTTAAGTACCAATAATGATCACAATTATTGAAGATTAATAGTCGGCTAATGGATTTTACGGCCCCATCCGACTTTCCAATCCGCGAATATTTATTTCCGGAAATCAAGAAAACGCGGAAATTAATATTCGCGAATATATCCGACCTCGGCAAAACGCGAAAATTTGTATTCGCGAATATAAATTGGGTTACAGTATACATTCTTCCAATGAGCAAACACATTTGGCGGGGGATGGCCATGTTGACATGGCTCTTGTTTTGGAATTATTTCAGCATCAAATCGGCATACAGTGTTTGCTGAGAATATGTTGCAATAACCTGTGTTCTGTTTGTTGTTGTTGTTTTTGTTGTGTTTTTTTAATAAAATTGAGAAAATAAATTATTTTTATTATAGGGAGGTCAGGATATTATGTCTATGATGGGTCAGTTAATGAAGCCAAAGAAAACAGAAATTACAGGTATGAATTAACAATGTCATTGTCAACCCCTACCATGTATTGAAAATGGACTTATTCCTCCTTCAATCTGGACCAAACCATTCACCATTTTTAAGAAAAATTTAAAATAAATAAACAGTGCCGGCTGACTCTTCTGTGTTGCTATACTGTACAAGTAGATTCATGTGAGGCCAGCAGGATAAGAGTTATTGCTTATGTTGTGGAATCAGTAATTCAGATGTTTAAAGGAATATTAACTCATTGAATTGGTTGAATCAACTGCCCTTACATCAAGGGTTATATATTGACAGATTAAATTTTTAAAACTTATAATTAGTAAATTTGTGGACATTTAAAAAAAAAATCATAATGAAAAGTTATATATTTTTATATTTTAGATTATTTAATGAATTGTAGAACACACAAGATAAAAATGGTTTTTGATTTTCAGATAAATTAAGAAAGGAGATCAACAAGGTGGTGAACAAATATATAGATCAAGGTATAGCTGAGCTTGTACCAGGTGTATTATTTATTGATGAGGTTCACATGTTGGATATTGAATGTTTCACCTACCTCCACAGAGCTCTTGAATCATCTATAGCACCCATTGTCATATTTGCTACAAACAGAGGCAAATGTACCATCAAGTAGGTCATTTTATTATTATTATTATGAATATTACTTACTGAATAGTGGCTGGGGTTTCCCCCCGACCGAGTGGTTCTGTACATTGAGTTCAAGCCATTTGCCTTCACTATTGTGGGTTCAAATCCTAACAGGGACTTTGGATTCTTTCATGTGAGGAAGCTATCTAGCTAGCTTAAGGAACATCAGTGGTTCTACTCAGGTGCCTGTTTGTCCCTGAAATAATGCACAGAATGGCACATGAGGTCTTCCCCACCAGTAAAGCTGGAAAAACAACAAGAAAACTGAGTAGTCGATGGATATTTTTGCATTTTCTAGCCGTGTTTAATTATGTCACTTTTTGCATAAAGGAAGAACAATGGAGTAGGTACCAGTTAGTCTCTCCATGTTTTTATCAATATTTAAGAAACCTCTATTATAGGTTAATTTTCCAAGATATATTTAAAGAAGGGCAAGATTTATGTTGTAATAAACTGTAGTATTTTAAGCAAAAAGTTAAATGGAAGATGTGTTTAAGAAATTCATTTCTGTTACCTTGAAAACCTAACCATGCAATTGGCACTATAAGCTCACAGATTTTAGTGTAGTTTGGTGGCTGGCTCTAAGTAATAATTTTCCCCACTATTGCATTTAATGAAACACTGATGCGTTTATTTGGGTCTTCATCAACCAGTAAATGGGAGGTCACTTCAGATCTATAAAGCGTCAGTGACACTTGAAACTCATTTACTCAAAATACTTTCATCTGACACTAAAGAATCGTTCTTCACAGACTCAGTTACTAAATGTTTACTTGAATGACGGTATTGGTACATGGGAAAAGTGTTTCCCAGTTACAATGATACATTAACATTTTAGTTCATGTTTCCATATTTTTGTTCCTCGACATCATAGTCTTTAGAATACTGAACTGCAAAACAAATCCTTGTGTGTGGGGTGCCTGTTTCAAGAGACCTGTGGTTCAAGTCCTGGAATATATATATATGAAAGAAAAAAGTCATGAGCGGGATCGGCATGCCTAGGCCAGGTCTTGAACCACAGGTCTCTGGACACACGCACGAACACATGCCAATTTTTCATGGGATTTTTAGCTCACCTGTCACAAAGTGACAGGGTGAGCTTTTGTGATCGCTTTTCGTCAGGCGTCCGTCCGGCGCCCGTAAACTTTTGATTTAAATGACATCTCCTCATAAACCACAGAGCCAATTTCATCCAAACTTCACAGGAATGTTCCTTTGGTGGTCACCTTTGAAAATTGTTCAAAGAATTTAATTCCATGCAGAACTCTGGTTGCCATGGCTACCAAAAGAAAAAACTTTAAATATCTTCTTCTAAAAAACCCAAAGAGCTAGAGCTTAGATATTTGGCATGAAACATCTTCTAGTGAGTGTCTACCAAGTTTGTTCAAATAAAAGCCCTGGGGTCAAAATTGGCCCCGCCCCAGGTCGTTGATTTTCCCTATATGCATATAGTAAAAACTTAAAAAATCTTCTTTTAAAGAACCCAAAGAGCTAGAGCTAAGATATTTAGCATGAAACATGTTCTAATGGATGTCTACCAAGTTTGTTCAAATAAGAGCCCTGGGGTCAAAATTGGCCACGCCCCGGGAGTCATTGATTTTCCTTATATGTGTATAGCAAAAACTTAAAAAATCTTTTTTGAAAAAAATAACCAAATAGCTAGAGTTTAAATACTAAGCATGAAACATCTTCTAATTAGTGTCTACCAAGTTTGTTGTAATAAAAGCCCTGGGGTCAAAATTGGCCCCGCCCCGGGGGTCATTCATTTTTCTTATATGTGTATAACAAAAACTTTAAAAAATCTTCTTTGAAAAAACTCAAATAGCTAGAGTTTAGATATTAAGCACGAAGCATCTTCTAGTGAGTGTCTACAAAGTTTGTTCAAATAAAATCCCTGGGGTCAAAATTGGCCCCGCCCCGGGGGACATTGATTTTCCTTATATGTGTATAGCAAAAACTTAAAAATCTTCTTTGAAAAACCCAAATAGCTAGAGTTTAGATATTAAGCATAAAACATCTTCTAGTAAGTGTCTACAAAGATTGTTCAAATAAAAGCCCTTGGGTCAAAACTGGCCCTGCCCCAGGTGTGTCATTGTTTTTAACTATATGTGTAAAGAAAAAACTTAAAACTTGACCAGCTGGACCTTAGATGTTTAGCATGAATTATCTTCTAATGGGTGTGTACCAAGTTTGTTCAAATAAAAGCCCTGGGGTTTAAACTGGCCCCGCTCCGGGGGCCTATATACAGGTGAGCGACTTCAGGGCCAGCATGGCCCTCTTGTTCTATGTATAATTTCTCGTATCACACGCAAAATCGGCATTCCACAGCCAGGACTCTAACCACATGTATTTAGACAAATATCAAACAAGAAAAGTCATGAGTCGGAAATTATACACAAAAAATTCAGCACGCCACATGTAATTCAAACACGAAAATGTTTTTAGTTGTTATTTTGTATGTTTTTATGTTTATAGAGGAACGGAGGATATTGTCTCACCACATGGAATGCCATTAGATCTGTTAGACAGGGTGATGATTGTACGAACACTTCCTTACTCTCAGGAGGAAATGACACAGGTATGAATTAAACATTAACCTTTAATTTGCTGAATATCTGTAATAAAATTGCCTAGATTTGAATTTGCACTATTCATTAAATATTTAAGGGCTTTCAATATCAACATACAAAAATTAAGTGTAGATCGTGGTCAGACCTGACTTTTTCTGGTCCCAAATAATTATGGTTAAAATTTTCATTTTCTTCATTCTTGTATATAGATCAGTCAATCAGTGAAACATTGCACTTTGGCTTGATGATAGAGATTATTTTCTTTGAACTATTTTCCCAAACAACCTCCCCCCTCCCTTCCCCCTTGATGCTTTGGATTTGAATCTGCTCAGCACCACATACCCTTCCATTTGAGGAAACTGTTAAAACTAGCTTACTGATGATCAGTGTTTCTGATCTGATGCCTACCTGTACAAGAAATAAAGGGATTGGCAACATAGGTTGTCTTTTTTTAAAAATGTCATTTGACCATGATAATGCCAGTGTAACATAAAAACAATGAAGAAGAAAAAAAAAAAACATTGCTTTTTTATGTTTATGAATTTTCAGTTTTGAAAAACAAATACGTTGATGTTAGGTTTTTAAAATCATGTCTGACTTTTAACGAATAGGCCAACACTGATTTAGCTATACATTTAGACCTGAGTTTATAAAGTACTAATTTATAGTGATTTTAGATGAGATCATGATATTTTTCAGATCTTGAAGTTAAGAGCACAGACAGAAAGTATCCAGGTAGATGATGAATCTCTAAATCAGCTTGGACAGATTGGTACCACCACAACGCTCAGGTAATATATACATGATCTTAGTGTTAGATTATACAAATTTATTTTAGTTCGATCAATTGGAAGCTATAAGATTATTGAAACATACAAATCCCTTCCTGGAACCAACCGGTTCTAAGCAATAAATGTAAAGTTTCTTGGTTAGGAAACAGCGGCTTGCCCTTAATGGGGTTTGAACCCATGCAGCCAGCAATTCTTAGAGTACTAGTTCGACACTTTTGCCACGCTGCCACAAATTTTAGTGTTCTGTAAATAATATCATGTGGTTTATTGTAATTAATTCAAATTTTTAATATGTAGATTAGGTTTGATACATGCAGTAAATAGAGCAAAACTTATACTTTATAATAGAAGAATATGTGGTTCTACTTAGGTGCCTGTTCGTGGCAGAAATAATGCACCGATTGGCACCTGAGGTCTTCTTTCACCAGTAAGGCTGGACAGTCGCAAAATTACTGTGTTGGTGCAATGTTAAAATCCAACCAAAAAAAAAAGAAGATATATATAGAAATAGAAGAATAGTTTATGATCAGTGTTCTAACAGGTTGTCTCCCTTTTCAGATATGCTGTACAGCTGCTCACCCCAGCTAACTTATTGTCAAAAATTAATGGACGAGATACCATCGGAAAAGATGAAATAGAAGAGACAAATAAACTTTTCTTTGATGCAAAATCCTCCGCAAAAATTTTGGCCGAACAAGAAGATAAATATATGAAATGAAGTGTTTGTGACAGAACTAAAATAACTTTGTTTTATTGGGTAACGAATAACAAGCAATTTCAGACCAGTTATACATTAGCAGTATTGCTACAAAAGTTTCTTTAATTCTAAAAATATTTCATCAGTCAGTGGCTAGAGTGTACAGACTGGCCAGTAAAAAAATCGGTTTTGAGACCTAGGTATTGAACTCAGTTATAGTTAGAATGAAGAAAAAGAGTTAATATTTAGAATGAAGAAAAAAAGAATTGAAGCTCTTCACTGCTTATTTTAGTGTTATATGCAACAGTTTTACACTTCTATAACACAGTTAATACATCAGTGATGCTAAGGTACAGAACTTATTTGTTAAATACAAAAACAAGACAAGGTGGTATATTTGTATATTTCATATTTTTGTACTTGTTGGTATCATGTTTTCCGTAATTTTCTGTACTTCAGAAAATAATGATTCATGAAAGTGTTGCATGTTGCTTTTACAAATATAAAGTTGTCCTTTGAATGTATAAAAAGTCTTGTTAATGAGTTTCATCAGCTATCACACACACAAACAAGTCAATAATTAAACTATGAAATAATCTTTGTTTACCATCCATATCATTTGTGTGTCATTATTAAATATATGTTCTTACATGTTACGTGACATCAGATGTTTAAATTTCTTTTTTTTCTAAAATATCAGTTGTAAATTTACAATCATTAAAATGGTTTATAAATTTAATTGTTTTTGTTTATTTTTCCCCTGAAATTCTTAACATCATTTGTGTCTAAAACCTTGAGTTTCAGAATATTATAAATTCTTTATTACAGGTGTTTTATTAGGAAATAATAGATATTAAAAGGAAGACATAAAAGCACCAGGTGCCTCTAATTTCAAGTTTGATCTTTCTTCAGTTAAATGAATGAAAGCTGTTGAAAAATGGTTACAGACTAAGCAACCTAATTACTATTATCCTCGAGTTATTTTATAACAGGAGATACCAAATATGCGACAAATATGTAACCAAATAATGCATACATGAGACATCTCTGTTGTCTGCAAGTGTTTTTCACATAAATTTCATAGCAAAATATTTTCTTAATAAAATTACAGGTTTTAATATTCCTTGTCACACAAATGCTTTTTTACACATATTTACCGGTAGTTTTTTAAATTTTGGGACCAACTCATTTTTTTTTGTGTAAAAATTTTATCCAATTTTCCCTTTTTGTTTTGGTGTTAACTGAAAAATAATTTTTTTAAATTGTTTTTTAGACATTCCCGGGAAATACTTGTAAAAAAAGAAATTTCCCAAACCCTGTGGGTTTTTTACAGAACTTAGTTAATTTTTTCTTGAAAAAAAATGTTTTTTTCTATCTATAATTTTTCCTCCAAACAATATTAATTTCGTTCTAGTTTATTTTTATTTAAAGTTTTTCTTATTGGCCAAAATAGGCTTACTTTTCCGGGTAGATGTCCCACCAATAAAACCTTTTTTTCGGGAAAGTAATTTGGTCTATTTCTCCAAAATCTTCTTTCATGCAAAAAATTGACCCTTTTTTGGAAGTTTAATTTTTTTAAAATTTTAATTTAAATAGAAATTTGAGGGCACTGAAAACTTTTACTAAGAAGGATATGATATCATGTTTAGTTATATTTAGATATAATGAAGCCTCGTTTTTTCTTTTGTTACAAAGCTTTTCACTCAAACCGGACCAAGAAAAACTCGAAAATACAATTTTCACTGTTTTTAGAGTACATTTATTTATTATCTTTTGCATATCTTTCTGTGTTAAATGCTCCCGTTGAGCTATGTAAGACATTCAAAAATATTTTAAAGGCTTTTGAACCTCAGTGGAGTTCCTTTAATTATGAAAATTACAAACTAGTAGTAGAAGCAATCGGTTACAAACGGCTATACCCTTTGAAAGTTTGTGAAAAAAGTTTTTAAATCTTCCTGTGTAAAATAGTGTCATTATGATGATAGTATGATTGTTAATGCATTTTTGTATTGGTTAATGTATAAATTAATGATCAACATTATTTTTTGTCCAATCACATTGCAGTATTTTTCAAATTCTGCTTAGTCTGACTTTGGTTAATGTGTACTCACAAATTTCTGCTTAGTCTGACTTTGGTTAATGTGTACTCACTTAATAAAATTTACTTAATCAGTCGTCTAAAGGTCTCAACAGACGGTAGGATTTAGTTGTTCAACACAACACTAATCAGAAATAAGCTGTACAATTTTCAAAGCAATACAACACTTGTATTCAGACCGTAATTCTACATTGTAGGAATAATCTGATATTTCCCTAAAAAGTTCCCTCCCAATTGAACCTTTACATTTTTTTTTCACTCCATGAGTAATGATTGACACAAACCGAGACTCAAACCTTGGACCCTTAGAATACCGTACTGCAGCTCTACTGACAGTAGAGTATCCGGCGCCCCTGATTATAGAACAGTTCAATACCGTGACATAATCATTTTCGGAATAATTTGGGATTCGAACATACCACAACTTTGGGTCTCCTGAAGAGTTTTTCAACATCATTTTTACCCCATCTTACTACTATGTTTACCTTTTAGCCCTACTTGGTCTGGAGTACACCCACTATCAAAAGAGAGATACTTTGGCAATCTGTAACTTGTCATTGCGGGAGGTGTGTACGACAAGATTTTCAAAATAGAACATGTACTGTCCCTTACATCTAGTATTAAGGTTTACGAATTCAAGAAATAGTAGCCTTCACATGTACGTCTTAGTTTTAATTGGTGTTGTACTTCAAAATCCTACCGTCTGTTGAGGCCTTTAATTTATAATTTAATTTATTAATATATAAGGGAGGAGTGAGAGGTGTGCTTTGCACTCTGAAACGTAAAATATGTAGGTACGGCATAAGCGGGAATCATAAACAACCACAAAAAAGTGACCTGTTTTTCAAAGGAGCAAATCAATAGGGCTTTTTTAAATGTAAGTGAATAACTTGCATCAATCTACTTAATGATCAACATTATTTTTTTCCAATCACATTCTAATATTTTTCAAATTTCTGCTAAGTCTAACTTTGGATAATGTGTACTAACTAAATAAAATTTACTTAATCTGTCGTCTAGCCAGTCTAACAAATTTCATTAATGATCAACATTATTTTTTGTCCAATCACATTGAAGTTTTTTTCAAATTTCTGCTAAGTCTAACTTTGGTTAATGTGTACTAACTAAATAAAATTTACTTAATATGTCGTCTAACCTGAGTCTAACAAATTTCAATAATGCATCATATTAGGGAGGAGTTAAAGGTGTGATTTGCACTCTGAATTGTAAAATATCAAGGTTTAACAAAACAATGCCAACGTAAAAACAATTTAGCAAAGTCAGGTGTTTCTAACTGTTAGGATACAATCAATTAATTTATTACATAGATAATACATGTGGGGCATACAGAGACAAATGATTACATAGTAACTTTTTTTTATCCTTTTAACTCTAAGAAAAATGTCTGTTATAAATTGCTGACTGTTTTAAACTTCTTTTTTTTCTAGAAAAAGTAACCAAAACATAGTTTTCTTTCAGTTGATAGGAATGAACTGCATTAACAATCCTTGATACTAAGAATACAATGATTACATTTTTTGGCTGGAAAACTCATTGTAAATGGATCCCCTCCACCTGTAAACTTAGATTGACACACAGAAAAACTTTTTTTTCAAATCTATAGGGATTTTAAATGTTAGTGAATAACTTAAAGCTAATAACGAATTTGTATAAATTATTTAACTAATGTATTTTCTCGCATTTTCCATTTATTTATATAGGCTGTACACATTTCAATAACTCCATTGTTTTTACCTAACTGCATCATTTTTTCCATAGAGACATGATAGTTTTACTGTAGATAAAGGTATAAATTCTGTGACATTTCAGTAAAAAATGTGGCTGATTATTTGTTGATAGGGCCATTTATTTAGCTTATCTAAATGTGATATGTTAGAAACTTGACAAGGTGTAGACATCTTGTAGAGCGAAAGGGCGGAACTATCGGTGATTTAGTGAAACGCCTTGTTTTTGGTTGAAAAAATAATGCTGATCATTAAATAGGTTAATGTTAAATAATATGCATTAACAAAATAATTGGTCGCCTGCCTGCGGCAGGCTTGACCAATTATTTTTGTTAATACATATTATTAAACACTAATCTATACATATTTCACATTTCAGAGTGCAAACCACACTTCTAACTGCTCCCTAATATAATGCATTATTGAAATTAGTTAGACTGGTTAAACGACTGAATAAGCAAATTTTATTTAGTGAGTACACATTAACCAAAGTTACACTTAGCAAGAATTTGAAAAATACTGCAATGTGATTGAACAAAAATAATTTTGATCATTAATTTCACATAGTTCACAATTTTCAAATCACATTTAACATTTATCATTTCTATAGTTATTCTCTTTTTGTTCCTTATTAAGTTCAACATTTAACATGGCATTGGCATTCTAGCAATTTTATGTAATAACTCATTTATGAACATTAATGCTATTTACAACTACAACGCTTTAAGACAGACTGTCTGACATTAAAATCAACAAGGAAATAGAATTTAAAAAATATATAAAAATAGCTCTGTGGCTAATCATGATCTTTTACTTAAAATTACTTAAATGTCACCACCCTTGGTTCGAATTTTGAGGAAGCCTTCCAGCGAGTACACGGAAAATCAACGGTTCTACTTAGGTGCTTCTCGTGCCCTATTCAAAATTTGGGTGCTTATACCGATGCTAGAGGACGTGCACGGTAGCTTTCATTTACCACTTCTTTCCATGAACATGCTGCAACATTTTAGGTTTTGCGGTTTTGTCCATTCTTTAAGGTTTCTTTTTTTTACCAGTCACAGTTTTGCACACTATTTATCCCCCGCCGATATTGTTTTGGCGTTGGGGATATTGTTTTGGCGTTATCCGTCCGTCCGTCCATCCGTCCGTCCAAATTTCGTTTCCGCGCTAGTTTTAAGCAACTATACTGGCTGGAATTCAACGAAACATTATGGGAATCATCAATACCAAGAGGAGATGCGTAAATCGTCGGCTTGTTCCAGTCAGACCCTTTAACTCAGAGTTATGGCCTTTGATTAGTTATGCAGTATGCATACAGGGCAATAATCGTTTCCGCGCTACTTCCCTGCAACTACTGGCTGGAATTCAACAAAACTTTATGGGAATCATCAATATCAAGAGATGTGCATATCGTTGGCTTGTTTCGGTCAGACCCTTTAACTCAGAGTTATGGCTCTTGATTAGTTATGCTGTATCCATATAGAGCAATATCGCTATTTCTTTGCAACTGCTGTATTGATTTCAACAAAACTTTATGGCAACCATCGATACAAAAATGCAATTTATATCTCATTGGCATGTCCGGATATTACTATTTAACAAAGTTATGACTCTGTTATTGCCCTGAATATTTATCATGTACAATGAATATTACTGTTTATACCATGATAAATATATATATAAAAAGCCTTATGTCTTCAGTTGTTGTGTAAGTAATAACCTGTACCTTGCGGGGGATATAAATTCAACGAATTTGCTTGTTAATTACGATATATAATGAAGTGAATATAAAATACAAAACCAATAAATTTATACTTGAAATTTATTAACAAAAAAGGTAGAATCTAGTAGAATATCAGTTTAAATTTAAGGTTCTTACAAACACGTACACGTACTGTTTGGTAAACAACGTTAAATTAATAGCGTCGAAAACTAGAAATACATTTTTTATATTGGATAAAGAGAAACTAAGAATACAAACATCAGAGTCATGTGTAAGTTATCACTAGAGTTGCAAAAACTGTCATCTTTGTCGACTAAGATGACGTCACAACGTGAAAATAACGCTCTTTTATTATTGTGTAGAAAACACTCATTTGTTACATCATGACATCACACAGTAAACAAGAAGCATCATGTTTCAAAGTAGCTAGGTTTAAGTCTTTTTTAATCAATCACACAAAAAAATCATTCATACACATGTGAGTAAACTGTTCAATCTCTAATTAATCCGGGATTATAATTATGTTGAGATTGTATTTATAACTGGCCAGCACAGGTACTGGTACAGGTTTTACTGCTCACTGACATCGGCATAGGTTGTTGGCTGAATGGACCACGATAAACAACAATATCGCATGTTTCCTTGCATGTATGTCCCTGAAGAAATAGAAATCATGTTGTTGTTGTTGTTGTTGTTGTTGTTATTTATTCATTTATTTATTTATTATTTATCTATTTATTTATTTTGCTATTTTAAATTTATTTTATATTTTAAATTGTAGAAGCATCACAATTACAGAACGCTTAATACAGTTATTTATTTCATAAAATTAAAACCTCAAGCACCGGGTTGCGTTTCACGCTGAAATTAGTCTTTAGACCATATATGAGACAATTTTACATTTCAAAGAAAATATTCTATATTATCACTCCTGTGACAGGATTAGCAATTCAGATTAACATTAAAGCACCCGCTATAATATTTCTTAATTTTAAGGAGAATTAATTCTATTTTAAATCTTAAGTTTTTCACTTAAGATAAAATGTTTATTGAAACAGTCTTAAATTAGCATTAAGTTGGATACACTTAAGACTTTCTATGAAACGCAGCCCAGATTTCGCCCTTTGGAACAATAGTACTGTCTTTAAAAAGTATTATTTGTTTTGCAACAAATGGCATCAAAATAAATTGAAACTTGGAAGGAATTTAAGAGATATTTATACTTACTACATTTACTCTGAGTTTCATGTCATAATTGATTCCATCCACAATCTGAAGTGAAAAAATAAAAACATTGAATTTTACTTAAATATGTCAATAAAACAAAAACTTTTGGTTTATAACTAACACGAAGTTTATATCCAACGCCCGAAACTTTAAAACGTTGTCGTGCATTGTTGTTAAGGCCCACATGGAAGATCGGTTACTTACTTACTTCCTTCACTCACCCACTCACTCACTCACTCACTCACCAACTCACCAACTCACTCACTCACTCACTCACTCACTCACTCACTTACTATGCGTTGCGTTTTTTTGCTTAACTTTTGTTAACTAGTTTACTTTTATCTTTACTTAACTATACTTTACTACGTATTTACTTTACTTCCTTACTAGATTCAAAAACCAACTGGCAAAACAACATCAAAACCAACATAGTTGTTTGTTTTCTGAACAAAACTCATGTGTAAACGTAAGACAAGATATTAAGCAAGGAAACATCTAATTTAAAGTTGACACTGTAAAAGTCATTTCAGAATTTTTATTATTAAACTTTGTCATATTCTTGGAATTGATACAAAAAAAACAAAGTTTGCCATCTTATTAAAAAATATGGACGATTTAAGTTAAACTTTCGTGTCAGTTAAAATGAACAGCAACTACATGTACAAATAATTCTGTTTTAATCGGTTAATTAACAGTTTTACTTATTTCATCTTTATCTGACAGAGAGAAAGAAAATGTGAAAAAAAATGGTTAACTGAAACGATTATTTGTCAGATTTGATAAAACAGAAAGAGGTTGGGTTCAGAAAAACGATAATATTTGTCATCTATCAATGGGGTGTCCTTATATCTTCATAAAATGAATATCTAGGTATAATTCTGAACATTTTCAAGCACAAAAAAGTACCATTAAATAAAACTGTAAAACTGCCATATTTTCACACATTTAACACTAAAAGGTACATATCAATTTGCTAAAGAATTTTCTTACAAATGAAAAGGCATACCGTAATCAGCCCAGACCAAAAGGAATATAAAAATGTTTAAACAGTAAAAAAGGTTGGCTCCATGTAGGGCTTGAACCGTCACCATATGCAAACTCTTTATCCTCACTTAAAATGAATATTCTTTTATATTAGGCATCTGATACCGTAACTTTGAACAGGACAGGGAATGACAAATAGACACTGCTTTAATTAAAGGAAGCTCCGAGCGTTCCAAAGAAATGTTGAGATGTTTTAAATTACCTGCTCCTTGACGCATAAAATGCTATCCAGTGTAATTCCAATGCCGTTGCTTGACAGGGCAAAGTTAGCAGCCGCTATATGTTCTGATGTTATTGTTTCTGCACAGCCACCATATCCCCCGTACATTCCTCCACCTCCGGGAAGTACCATTGACAATGTCTGAGCAATGCAGCAGACAACAAATAAACCACATGTAGTTTTGATTGACATTTTGCCAGAACGTCTGAAATAGAATTGAAATTGCGAATCATTATTGATTTATCAAATACGCTCTAACCTAAGAGAAAGAGAGATTTTAATTAAAAAAAAAACAATTAAGAAAAAACAAAGGGAAAATAAGTATCACTAACGAAGTATGTAAATAAGCATCGTCAATAAAAAGTAGGAAAATAAGCAGTATAAGGAATGCATAGGTAATTAAACATCGTAAATAAAACATATATGAAAAATACATGTGAAAATAAGTATCATTGACAAAACATTAAAATAAGCATATGAAATTATCGATAAATGGTTTTTGGAAAACAAAAAGAATAAGAGGTAGATGTATCATTTATTAAAAAGTAAAGCAATCTTCGTTAATGCAGCATTTAAAATAAGCACATTTATAAAGTGTCAGAACAAAAAGCATCCTTCATAAAGCATATCAAATTTCCTGTCATTTATTCAATGCACGTACAAAGTTTTATTTTCGTGCTCACCGTTTATTGTAGTAAGAATATGTTTGTCGCGTTTAATCATATCCTTGAGTAAACAATACAAATAAAATTTAAATGAAACTTACATACCTTTCTGTTTCAGTTCCAATGTTTACGTAAGAATGACTTCCGTAAGATATGGTCAACTAAATCTGCACCTTGCTTTTATACCTTATGAAACCGGATATTGTTGTGAAAGGAATGTCGTTTCTCGTCAATATAACAATTTTTACATATAATATGGACCTTTTTCTGTGACGTAGGTATGATTATGTCTCCGCCCCTCTCTCTACGTTAAGCTTAATTTGTTACTGTTGCTAACAATCGTTGGAGGACAACTTGTGACAGGCTAATTGGTGGTGTCGTTAATGTTGTCAGCTGCGTAAATTAAAATGCACTTTTATTGGACATAAACCCACACTAATGCTGCTATGCAGTAAGAAATGCGGATATTTAATTTTTGTGTTATTAAATGATGACTGATGATTAACTCTTTGTCAAGTCGCATCTCCTTCCGATACTACGAATCAATCTTTGTTACATGTTTCGTGATTAAAATGAATTAGAGAAAATAAGAATCCATAAAGAAAGTCCAAAACGGCAAAATTGAAAATGTTGCAGACTCGGTTTGATTGAAACTGTTCATCGACAGTACTGTTAAGCGCAAACTACCGTACACAGCCGCTAGTTACGGCTTAAGCAGAATTCAACATTTAAACATGAAATGGTTAAATTTTGAATTTACAAACAGCCTCAGATGTGTTCATACGGCGGTCATCATAGAACCTCCAATGGGACACAGTAGTGTCATTCCATGAAAAGCGACTTTTGGTCCCTAAGTAATAGAAAGCGTGTGCGCTAAACAAAAAAACAACAACGGGCGGAACTATACAAAATTGAATTTTAAAAGGGGATCAGATGTTATTAAGCCTTCATATCACAGATAAGACGTCAAAATATGGCAACATATCCTAAGCGTGATTCAACATTATTCAAGAAGGAATATTGGAACCACCCTAATCGAAAAAGCCAAATAGTTGAAAATAAAAAATACCTCAAACACAACAATAATGTCGTGTTGAACGATCTTCAAGGATCGGAAAAATAATATCTCTGATTGAATGTACGAGGCGAAATTTTACAGCCTCCACACGGCACAAACAACGCTGATGTACGTGGCGATAAATTAGAGAAAATAACAATCCAAAACGGCAAATTTGAAATGTTGCAGTTATCACAAGAATTACTTTGTCTTACCATTTTGAGATACTGCTTTTCTTTTTCTTTCTCCATAGAAATAAAATATCCCCTATCAAAAATACTTTATCAATGTTAATAATAATAATAATAATAATAATAATAATAATAATAATAATTTAGTGTTGCATGTTTTTCTGTACTTTGAAAAAAAATACATGAAAGTGGATTATAAATTTTATTGTTTTTGTTTATTTTTTGCCTGAATTCTTAACATCATTTGTGTATAAAACTTTGAGTTTCAGAATATTGCAAATACTTTATCACAGGTGTTTTTATTATATTTAAAGGAAGACATAAAAAGCACTAATTTCAAATTTGATCTTTCTTCAATTATTTGAATGAAAACTGTTGAAAAAAATGGTTATTACTAATATCATCAAGTTACTTTATAACCAAAGTACCAAGAATAACCAAATATTACAAATAATACTTACATGAGACATCTCTGTTGTATGCAAGTGTTTTTCACATAAATTTCATAGCAAAATATTTTCTTTATAAAATTACAGGTTTTAATTTTTCTTGTCATACAAATGCTTTTCAGTAGTTTTATTAACGATTTCGACCCAACATAGCATTTTGAATTTGTGTGAAAATTATTATCCAATTTTTACCCTTTTACTGTGTGGTAACAGAAAAATATTGATTTAACTATAGTTATAAACAAAGATGGTTGCCAATCCTGTGAGGTTCATTTCAGAACTATAGTTATATGTTTCTTGTAAAAAATGTCATTTTCTATCTATGAATAGTTCCTCCATAACAAATATTAATTTCGTTCTAGATTTATTCTGTATTTAAAATTTTTCTTGATTGGCCAAGTAAGGCTAAGAGCGAGGTTTGGTGCACCATTAACCGGTTTAAACTCCCCAGCAGTCATTATTATGCTGCTGACCGTTCCAAGGCGGCGCCCCACTGTGTTCCTCAGATGTATGTCTTATGTTGTTTCATACTGTTTTGGTGACACTTTTGCTTGTGTCCCTTGTTGTTTTCTCGTCTACGGTAAGTATCTTCTCCATTGCCTCTAGTTTTTATTTCTTTGATTACTCCCCACCCCCTCCCACCCGGTCTCCTGTCCCTTCCCCTTTGTGGGCCTATTTTTATTTTCGTTGAATTCCTAATCAGTTACAAATTAATTATCATTTAATGATTAACCTGTCCGTGCTCTGTCTTTGCCCTGTCCTGTTTTTGTTTGGGGTCCCCCTGGGCTCCTTGCCATTGGTTCTTGTTGCTGGGTCATGTGGGGGTTGCGTTCATTGAACGCCGCCTTTCCTTGTTGATCTTGTTTATCATATTTTACATTCACGGTAGATAGTACCACCAGGATACAACCTTTAATTCTGGTGAGTAGGTTGGTCTGATTTCTGCCAATAATCTCCTTTCATGCACTAAAAATTGACCTTTTTCTGGAAGTTTAATATTTTTAAATTAATTAATAGCAATTTGATGGCACTGAAAACTTTTACTACGAAGGATATGATATCATGTTTAGTTATATTTAGATATAATGAAACCTCGTTTTTTCTTTTGTCTGCAGCATGTACTTTTCTTATTTATATATATAGAGAAAAACTCGAAAATACAATTTTCAATGTTTTTAGAGTACATTTATTTATCATCTTTTGCATATCTTTCTGTGTTAAATGCTCCCGTTGAGCTATGTAAGACATTCAAAAATATTTTAAAGGCTTTTGAACCTCAATGGAGCTCCTTTAATTATGAAAGTTACAAACTAAAGTAGTAGAGGCAATCGGTTACAAACGGCTATACCCTTTGAAAGTTTGTGAAAATAGTTTTTAAATCTTCCTGTGTAAAATAGTGTCATTATGATGATAGTACGATTGTTATTGCATCTTTGTATTGGTTAATGTATAAATTAATGATCAACATTATTTTTTGTCCAATCACATTGCAGTATTTTTCAAATTTCTGCTTAGTCTGACTTTGGTTAATGTGTACTCACTTAATAAAATTTACTTAATCAGTCGTCTAAAGGTCTCAACAGACGGTAGGATTTAGTTGTACAACACTAATCAGAAATAAGCTGTACAATTTTCAAAGCAATACAACACTTGTATTCAGACCGTAATTCTACATTGTAGGAATAATCTGATATTTCCCTAAAAAGTTCCCTCCCAATTGAACCTTTACATTTTTTTCTCTCCATGAGTAATGATTGACACAAACCGAGACTCAAACCTTGGACCCTCAGAATACCGTACTGCGGCTCTACTGACAGTAGAGTATCCGGCGCCCCTGATTATAGAACAGTTCAATACCATGACATAATCATTTTCGGAATAATTTGGGATTCGAACATACCACAACTTTGGGACAGTTTTTCAACATCATTTTTACCCCATCTTACTACTATGTTTACCTTTTAGCCCTACTTGTTCTGGAGAAGACCCACTATCAAAGAGAGATACTTTGGCAATCTGTAACTTGTCATTGCGGGAGGTGTGTACGACAAGATTTTCAAAATAGAACATGTACTATCCCTTACATCTAGTATTAAGGTTTACGAATTCAAGAAATAGTAGCCTTCACATATTAAAATTTGCTTGTACATCTTAGTTTTAATTGGTGTTGTACTTCAAAATCCTACCGTCTGTTGAGGCCTTTAATTTATAATTTAATTTATTAATATATAAGGGAGGAGTAAGAGGTGTGCTTTGCACTCTGAAATGTAAAATATGTAGGTACGGCATAAGCGGGAATCATAAACAACCACAAAAAAGTGACCTGTTTTTCAAAGGAGCAAATCAATAGGGCTTTTTTAAATGTAAGTGAATAACTTGCATCAATCTACTTAATGATCAACATTATTTTTTTCCAATCACATTGTAATATTTTTCAAATTTCTGCTAAGTCTAACTTTGGTTAATGTGTACTAACTAAATAAAATTTACTTAATCTGTCGTCTAACCTGAGTCCAACAAATTTTAATAATGCATTATATTAGGGAGGAGCTATATGTGTGGTTTGCACTCTGAATTGTAAAATATCTAGGTTAGCAAAACAATGCCAACGTAAAAAATAGGCAAGGTCAGGTGTTTCCAAATGTGAGGATACAATCAATTAATTTATTACTTAGATAATACATGTGGGGCACGCAGAGATAAATATTACATAGTAAATTGCTGACTGTTTTAAACTTTATATTTTCTAGAAAAAGTAACCAAAACATTGTTTTCTTTCAGTCGATAGGAATGAACTCATTAACAATCCTTGATATTAGAATACAATGTTTACATTTTTGGCTGGAAAACTCATTGTAAATTGACCCCCTCCACTTGTAAACCTAAATTGACACAAAGAAAAATAAAAAAAGTCAATTGTTTTTCAAATGAGCAAATCAATAGGAATTTTAAACATTAGTGAATAACTTGAAGCTAATAACGAATTTGTATCAATTAATAATCTCAAATGTATTTTTCTCAGATTTTTTTCCAGATATTTTATAGAAACATGACAGAGGTACTGTAGATAAAGGTATAAGTTCTGTGACATTTCAGCAAAACATGTCACTCATTATATGTTGTAAGGGCTATTTATTTAGCTTATCTAAATGTGACATGTTAGAAACTTGACAAGGTGTAGACATCTTGTAGAGCGAAAGGGCGGAGCTATCGGTGATTTAGAGAAATGTCTTGTTTTTGGTTGAAAAAATAATGTTGATCATTAAATAGGTTAATGTTTAATAATATGCATAAACAAAATAATTGGTCGCCTGCCTGCGACAGGCTTGACCAATTATTTTTGTTAATACATATTATTAAACACTTATCTATACATACTTTACATTTCAGAGTGCAAATCACACTTCTAACTGCTCCCTAATATAATGCATTATTGAAATTAGTTAGACTGGTTAAACGACTGAATAAGCAATTTTTATTTAGTGAGTACACATTAACCAAATTTAGACTTAGCAAGAATTTGAAAAATACTGCAATGTGATTGGACAAAAATAATTTTGATCATTA